TTCTTCATGGTAACTTTTTGTGTAAGAAATATTGTTACTCCCTCGTTGCAAATAATTTTTTCCTCTGTTAAGGTGATTAAATTGTGGAATATATGGGTTCTGCTTACATTGCTTTGGCCCCGCAACTTTTTGCGCCATATTAACTGGGCTTATTTATTAAACACGTTCTGGACCAGCACAGCTGTTTGGTCTGCTTGGTCTGCTCGGTCTGGTGGGTCTGGTGGGCTTGGTTGGGTTTTGGTGGGTCAGCCCCTTCCATCGAGTGGTTCCATTTGCGTTACGTACGTGTGCATAGCAAATGGCATCCTGGCGAGGTCCTGACTCCTGGTCCTGGCCATCGCAAAACATGGCTCACTGAGCTCGCTGACCGGCTGTTTGTGGCCTCAATAAATCAACTGGAATTAAGTCATCAATAATGGAAAGACATAAAGCAGGCAGTCGAGCACTAGTTGGAAGCTGTTTGCTCTGCGTAACGCGAGTGGGGGAGTTTGGCTGAAAAATACTTCAGAGGGCCATAAAGAAATGCAAATTGTTGTGGAATATGTTCAATATGTTGGCCCCACGAAACGAGGTGCTTTAACGTTCAACAGTTGTTGAACTAGTGGTAATGAAATCTCGAAAGGATTGCTCATTTGTTTACCTTTTTTTTTAAAACATTTTGAATAAATATTTGTAAAATATTTTTTTTACATTATATATTGCGCTTTAATATACACATTAAGTTAGATATATTTTGCCGAAATGCATCACATTTCATTCTGACTTAACAACTTGTTGTTTACTCGGAATTAATACCCAGAAAAAAACATTGCTTCAAACAAATAGAAGATCGATTTGCTGGGTAACCTGACTTTTTCTGGTTAGACAACCCGGATTGAGTGAGAACGACGGTAATGAACACGAAAAAGCGAAATAAAAGGTCGTAATAATTATTTATTAGACGCTTGGTGATAAATATGCAAATAAATAATTGCGGGTATCGGTGAGTTTGTGTGAAATATGAACTCACAATTGTCTGGATTTTAATAGCTAATGGGGGGTTTTCCAAAGATGTTATTTGCACATTTGTAACTGAGGGCTTGATTTTTTAAGTGACGTAGCCAGTTTAATAGACCAATTAAACTTGGAAGTTTTCAGCTGAAATGACTTCATACAGAAAAGTTTATTCGAGCTCACGTTTTTCAATGCATCAGCACAATAAATCTAGAAACTGCCTTTAATTAAAAATTGTTATTACTCGACTTGACTGCTTTTGTTCTTACTTGCGTGAGGCTTTCAGTTCGGCTGGCTTAATTAGAAAGCCATCCACATGAGCGACTTTGAGCTACAATTGACACTTGGCATTTATCTCCGGCAGCTGCCTCATTTCTTTTGGCCCTCAAAATCAAGATATTTCAGCCGCGTTTTTTTCGACTGCCTTTCTTGTCAATTTGGCCGCTGGTGAAAGACAAATTCATAAATATTTTAATTAAAATTCGAGCGAGTGCCGGGGCCAATGTTGTTCTAAGTTAAAAAGTTTTCATTGCAGGCAAAACGGAAACGTTTTCTACAACGTCATCAGAAACGCATAACATTCCAGAAAAGGGGGAAAACAGGAAGCAAACTTTTTGGCGCAAGTTCAGCGAAAGTTTCGCTGCAAAGAGAAATTTAACTAATTCCATTATGCATAAAAGTGTAGGAAAAAAAAAATAAAAATAAAAAGGCATTTGGAAAATGTTAAACAAAAATGTGAAAACTTTGCCCTTGTTGCTTCGCCGGGCCAATGGAATCTTTCTTGGCTCGGACCAGCCAAGGTGGAAATTTGCCTTCAAAACTTGCTTTAATTCCGCTCGAAAACTCACGTTTTGTTTATTTAAAAGGCGCACATAATTCGACGGATACTTGGTGGCAAAAAAGCTGCTCACTTAAAAGGTAATAGAGGCTTGAACTCTGCAAAATTTGTGAACTGCAAGGGAATTTTAACGCTCAGCTATGCTAAAATTAAGAATTCTAAAGAGGAGGATAAAATAAAGCCAACGGTTTACAATTCAAAGATTTTTGCAAAGTTTCACCTGAAACAAAATTAAATAAAATTCTTAAGCTTAAGAATTTAGCAATAAATCATTTTCTTATTATTCATCCATTTTTTCTAACTACATACTTACTTATTTTTACATAACCTACCCCAAGTCTTTTCCCATTTGCATATCCAGGCAAAAAATCCTATTTATAACCAAAATGAAATCATTAAGCGGCTTTTACTGTCAACACAAATGGCACGCAAACATTTCAAAAGCAATTCAGATTCAGGCATAGGGAATAATAAAAATAAAGAAGCGACTCTGGTAGGCGGAAAAGCAAAAAAAAAAAAATAAAGAAAAGGAGGCGACCCACCGAAAGTTGCCATGCAATTGAGTTGAAAGACAAACAAAGGGAAAATCCGCGGAAAAGGGAAATCGAAGGCGAGCTCCGCTGGAAAAGCTGTTGCCACAATAAACGACACGATTCATTCACTCACTTACCCAGCCAGTGAGTTCGTCAATTACATTGATTTCACGGGTGCGGTTGTGTCTGTGCGAGAATTTCCACCTGCCGGAAAAGTTCAGCGGAAACGGGAGTGAAAACTCCGGGGAAAGCCAGCCGTCACCATTGTCACCCTCGGCGCATTTTGATTTGTCTATCTGTCGTTTAATAATACAAAGTGTCTTTTGGTTCGATTCCTTTTCCCAAATATTTTCGACAATTTCCTTCGACAACAACGGCAAGTGATTGACTTTTGTTTGCCACCATTTTCATTACTATTTTCATTTTTCACGTTCCGTTTGTCTGTCTGCTCCTTTCTTGCCTTGCCGCAAACTTGTTTACCTCACAATGTTATTTACTCGACGTAATGATTTTTCTATCAAGCGCTTAGAATCGCAATCGCACTCGTTTTTGGCCCATTGTTGCTGGCCCGGTTCGATTCACCTTTGTGCCGAGTGCCAAAAATGTCAATTGATGTGTGCCGAGTTCGCTCCATTCGCCCTGTTTATGGCTCATGTTTTACGAGGCGTAAAAAGCGTCATTAGAGCAGATAAATACGTGTAATTTGTGCAGAGTTTTATAGGTGGAAATGCGGAGCGATGATGGATTCCACACATGCATGAAAATTCGGAAATTTAAAAAATGATTTTATGGGGAGCCAGTCACAGTTGTGTTTGTTTCCGATATGTTATCACATATTCAATGGAAAATCTGTAGGACTTATGAAATAAAAATAAAGTGATATATGAATTGTTTTAAGCTTTCCTTTGTAATGTTCAAAGGTAACAAGTATTTTATATTGAGTAATCTTATTACATTTGATTCCATTTTATTTCTAATGTTTATTCAGGAAAAAAAATTTGGTTGGCATTAACTCGCACACAAATGATAAGCTTTAAGCAAAGTTTAAATTTACATGGAAATATAAAAAATCATTGGTTTAATAGCAAAAAATTCACAACTATCTAAACGTAAATTTTTTAATTTTTTAGTAATTTAATAAATATCATTATAATGTTATTCCGCAATAGATGGTTTGTATAAATTAACTTTTGCGATCAGGAGCTACATCATAAATCCTACTACCTTCTTCCCTTTTACCCAAAGTCTGCTAGCCATTTCATAAATTCGCAGAATGCAAATTTAAAACGTTTTACTCCGAAAAAAAACAAAATTCCATCGCACGGCGACGCATCGTTGGATGTTGTAACCGCAGCCAAATTAATTTCAACTCCCTCGGTTTCACTTTGACTGCCGCGTGGGCGTGACAAATGCAGCGCGAGTAAATTGTTTAATTGCAGCTTTATTAAATTTAATAAAAATGCATGCATACATATGCCAGTGCCGACATGACACGCCCCTTCTGCACCAAAAAAAAAAGGGGGCGGAAGGTTGGCCTGAGGACCTCGCACCCTTTTGCGCTTCCGTTAATCGACTGCACTTTGCATCCTGTTGACTGCACACAGATGCCACTGCCTTCATTCCCGGGCATTTCAGGACGCAGGACGCAGGACCAATGGCCAGTGCATGTCCTTTGTTGCCAGTCGCATTCGTGGCCCACACCTTATCCGAAAAGCCACCGTCCCCTCAGCCTTGTGGTTGTATTCTCCCCTCACTTTTTTGTATCCCATTTAATTTGGCGCTTGCTCTTGGCTCACATCGGTTTCTTTGGCCTTTTGTTCAGTCGGTGTTCCACAACCCGTTCCTTTTTTCCCGAGCGTAATTTTAATAAAGTTCGCTGGGATTTTTTCTGTTGTCCGCGTAGTCAATTGTTATCTTCCAGCGATAAGTAAATAAATGTGAACAGGGGAGCGGGGCATTCTGTTCCTGAGTTGCAATTGCAACTGGATTGCCGAGTCTCTCTGGCTGTTACTCCTGGTTTTCGCATTTTCATTTTTCCCAGACTTTTCCCCCTCGGCGAGTATGAATATTACTGAGTGATAAGACCAGGGGCTGCAATTAATTGTGAGCGTTTCCAAACGGACTCCAACGAGGATGCGAATGTGTGTGAATGCGGGTGTGCCGGCGTAATTCAATCTGTTTTATTTAAGCTTTTCGTTAAGCTTTATTTAATTGCGAATTGCATTGCATTTTCCCAGAATATAAGCGACGAGAATGAAAAGCAAATTTATATTTATTTTTGAATGCATTGCTAAAGGTGTAACTTAGGGCAACAATTTAATACAAAAGATTTTAAAATAATATGATAAATAAAGTAATAACAAGTGCGGAATATTTTCGTAATTTTCAGTTTAAATGTTCCTTTTAATTAAGAAATTGTAGAGTTAAATGATGGAGCGAACTTAAATATGGCATCTAGTATATAAATCATTTTTAAATTACTAGGCTTATCAACCGCAAATTCTTATTTGCACTCAACTTTTACCATTAATTTGCTTTTGAGGGTTTGGTCAAGTGGAAAGATAATCAGGGGAAGTGGGCAATTAGTGCATCCACGTCATGCTGACCCCAACTTCTGGCTTAGTTGAAGGGGTGAAATGAGTGAGTTTGGCTGGATCATCGCCATCAAGGTAATGCTCATCGTGTGTGCAATTGGCAAAAATGCTAGCTCCTCTCCGCCGGAATCGCGATATAAATGGACCACGGTATGTGTTTGGCTAATAGCAGCTACACTCCTTTTCACGTAACTACACTTGAATTTCAAGGTATTTTAAATATAAAAGATTACCATTAAAAAAAATATACTTCAAAAGAAGATTCAAATATAATAATAATTATGCTTTCACATACCTATATGAAAATATGATAATGATGATAATTTCTGTTCAACTTATTTTGATGGTATTTCTTATTACCAACTCATTTACATTTCCTTAAGTGCCCAATAAATATAGTTACAATTAATATAATTTATTAAATTAAAATATGAGAGTCACTGAATTTCTCCTTGTGGAATCTATACTCCATTCCAAGGTGGACTGGCTGGAGGCCCAGAATGTCAGCTATGAGGCACACAATGTTACCACGGCGGATGGATATCAGCTGCAGGTGCAACGTTTGCCACGTCTGGGAGCTAAGCCCGTGCTCCTGGTCCACGGGCTACTGGGCTCCTCGCTGGGATGGGTCTGCCTGGGACCAGAGAAGAGTTTGGGTAAGTGAATGGGCACCTACGGGCATGCACTTAAAAGAATACATTTTGTTAGATATTGCAATAAAAGTTAAAAAAATGCTTTGAGATATTGTCAAAAAAGATTTGAAAAAATCTACTTAACAAAGAGCCATGCAATTTTAAAGTTAAAAATATTTGGTAACAAAAGATAGCATTTGGTCTTATTAAAATGTAAGCTGTTGTTTTTGTTCTTGAGCATTAACACTATGTGTTTAGTAAGAAGTTACATCGATTTATTTTTATTTTATATCCATTTATACTGACTTTACTCTATTTTTCTCCCTGTTCAGCCTTTCAATTATTCAATCGGAAGTATGATGTTTGGCTGGCGAATCTGCGCGGAGTGTCACCCTACGGACGACAGCACACGGACTTAACCGACGTGATGGCCGAGTTTTGGAGCTTCAGCTTCCACGAACATGGAGCCTACGATTTGCCGGCCATAATTGACCACATGGCGCGGGTCACATCCGGCGAGCAGGGGGATCCCGCAAAGGAAGGAGGAAAAGCAGAGGAGGAGGGTCAAGTAGAGGAGGAGGCTCAAGGGGAGCATGAGTATGAGGAGCAAGTTCCACGCCAGGTGCTGCTAATTGGACACTCGCAGGTGAGCGGAGCGGTGGTCAGGTGGCCAAATCCCCCTAAACACTGCTCTTAGGCCTTCAATGCGTTCCTGGTCCTCTGCTCGGTGCATCCGCGATTCAACCAGCGCATTCAACTCATTCAGGGACTGGCGCCCCTGGCTCGACTGCATCGCCAGGTGCGCTTCGATTCCAACCAGGTGCGCCGCCTCATGAAGTTTGTCAAGGTAATTATCGGAATATTTGCACTGGGGGAAAAATGGCGCTTGTATTACTAATGGAAAAATAGTTAAAAACAAAAGAAAGGTCCAGCATTTTTGTTATTTCTTTTAGTATAATCTTTTTAGTACACCAACATTTATATACCATTTTATACCTTTTTATATTCAGAACTACAAATCAATTTTCTTCTCCCTTTCAAGGTGTAACCACTAAAATTAAAAACTCTTTAATATGGGTATTTCGTGAGTTTGATTAGTTTATTTCTTTGGCTGGCTGTAGTAGTTGGCTTTAACAAAAGGCATTTTAGAGACCTCTGCCTCGTACAATTTGTCTCGAACCTTGAATTCCACCTTTGTGCCAGGAGACTTCAGGCTTTCAGAAACATATCCCATGGCAATGTTTCGTCCAGTACTTGGACTGGGGCAACCACTGGTAACCTGACCCACTTGTTGACCCTGGCTAAAGATGGCCACTCCGGAACGAGCTGGTGGTGGCTTTGTTCCCACCATTTGGAAGCCCACTCGCCTGCGGCTTACTCCTTCCTTGAGTTGGCGGAGAATTACTTCAGCTCCTGGGAAATCCTTAGTGGTTCGGCGCCTTTTGGAAACCAACCAAGAGAGTGCTGCTTCAACGGGAGTGGTTTTGGAGTCAATATCACTGCCATAGAGACAAAGACCCGCCTCCAATCTCAGGGAATCCCTGGCTCCCAAGCCAGCAAGTTTAAGGTTGCCACTTTGAAGAAGAGATTCGGTGAGATTCTGCACCTGACTGGATTCCACGGATATCTCCACACCATCCTCGCCGGTGTAACCACATCTGGTGATCCTAATATTAGGTATACCAGCCACTGAGGTGACAAAGGATCTCATGAAGTAGAGTTGATCAAGGGAAGCATCCTTAGGCAATAGTTTGGATAGTTCGAGTGAAACTTGGGGACCCTGAACTGCCACCAAAGATTGATCAGTGGGAGTGAGGAATTCAATGGTTACATCCTTGCCATTTGACTTGAAGTTATTCTTGAAAAAAAAATTTATTAATATTAAATCATAATTACTTGAACCCACGACTTACCACAGCAGCGCTCATGATTCCCATATCTTGTTCCTTCATTGCCGCATTGGAAACCACATAGAGCTCCTTTTCGCTGACTTTGTTCACGATAAGATCATCCAAAATACCACCTGATTCATTGGTAAAAACAGTAAGGGTTCCACTTCCATCCGGAGTTCCCAGGATATCGGCAGTGCAAACAGATTCCAGACAGGCAGCCGCATCCTTGCCAAAAACTCGGGTTTGCAACATGTGAGAAACATCGAAAATGGAACCCACTTTCCGGGTGTAAAGATGCGAGGCGATGATGCTTTGGTCAGAATATTGAACTGGGAGAGCGTATCCACCGAAATTCACAATTTTCCCGCCCTTTTGCACGTGGAAATCGTAGAGGGCGGTGCGCTGACCCTCGGAGGCGGAGGAGGCGTGGCGCAGACCGCCGAGGGCCTTGGATAGTCGATTGCTCAGTCTGAACATCTCGCGGTGACTGAAGCCCGGATGGAAACCACATTGAATATCGGTCCTAGGATGGTACACAAAAAAAAAAAAACAAAACAATAGGGTCATAAAGAAAAAAATAGAATTTATTTTGAAAATTAAATTTGATTATAGTTTCATATACATGGTCATAAACTATTGTAAATAATCAATTTTCTATTTTGAATAGGTTAAAATGTTATTATTCCAACATTAGTTATACCAATAATGTTATAATTAAATTTTTTTATAATTTTATTTGGTTTTCTTGCTGTGCAACTGATAAAATCCTGACACCGCGTGACATCGCCGCAGCGATAGGAAACTATTGAGAGCTAGAGAGACATTAAGATTATTTTGAGAAGTGAATTTACTCGGTGATAACCCCCCTGAGACGATTTTAAATATGTATGTTTTAGTGGATCTTGAATCTGGGAAAGTAAGGCTAATCAGCTGAGTGGATCCTATTCCAGTGGAAAAGTTCTATAAAAAGTAATGCAATTACAATGATTTGAATAAGCTTGGATTTTTATTGGTTGTGAAGGCCTTCACATTTCTATGGAATTAAGAACATAAAGGTTTAAGATAGATGAATAAGCGCATACAATTTTGTATGTATTGGGATCAAAATTTATAATTATTATTTACTCTTATAAAGTAGAATATATAATATTAAATAAATTTTTTTTTCAGAAACGCCAGAAGATAAGCAAATTTGAAGTATTTCCTCCGGGCTACTTGCGAAAAATATGCCAGAGCAAACAAGATCTTTGCGAATATTACACCAAACAGTTTGTTGGCAGTGCCCACAGCAATAAAAAGGTTACTAATTTATTTAAATATTAAATAAATATTTATCAACAAAAAATTTAATATATATTTTGCAGCTACTGGAAGCATTTAATTATGAACATTTACTGCAAGGCGGTTCGGCAAAAGAGATAAAACACCTGCAGCAGATATGGAAATCGGGTGACTTTATTTCCTACGACTATGGACCACTGGAGAATATGCAAATCTATCACGGCGTGGAGGCCTTTGGTTATAATTTGAGCCAGATTACGGTGCCCATTATTCTGTATTTTGGGGAAACAGATGCTGTTGCCACGCCAAACGGAGTCCATGGAATATATGCCAGAATGCTAAAGTCCGTGAAGAGTGTGAGGAGAATAAACTCCCCGAAATTCAACCATTTGGATTTCATTGTCTCCGGCGAAGTCAAAAGTCTGGTCAACGACAAATTAATTGAGCAAATGGAACAGTTTCTCGAGGGCCGATTGCCGTACGTAATTGAATGACCGCCAAATAAAAGGTGTCATCAAAGGCGTTCATTGAAGCCCATTATAATAGAAATGACAAAAAATAATTGCCCGGCGAAATGCTTTATTTGCCTTGGCAGCCGTCCAAAATGCCAATTATGTAATGCGGTAGCCAGACCATAAAAAAAATATACATATAGATGTATAATTCAAAAAGGCAGCCGCCACAACTGGTCGACACTTTTACTTTCTTTTGATGGCCAAACAAAAAAAGTGTCTGTTTCCAGTGTCTTTTGTGCTGCTTTTGGTCGAAAAGGTTTGGGTGATTAAGCCAGCGAAAGAGGAGAAATAATGATAATTACCTTAATGGAATTGCTTGGACTGAATTTACAACTGTGGGTGGCGTGCACTTAATAAATATTGTAATTTTAATGACTCAGTTATCGAGTGTTTGAGCTATTTGTAAATAATTTTAAGCAAACTTTCGAAATTTAAATTATTTTATTTGGTTCCAGTGAAAAGTCATTCATGTCGTAAATAAAACTTTTGTGGCAGTCAGCCAGCAAATTTAATTATTCATTTGAATTTTGTTAAATACAAACCATTTGTTGTTTTTTTCTTTTTGTGCCATGTGAAATCACACAAAAGTGTGCCGCATTTATGTGGATTTTTTTGTGTGATAAGATAATTTGTGGCTTCATCGAACACAGTTGAATTTGACAACTGATTAAATGTGTTATACGATGCCTCACTGTACTCTGCTGCACTTGATAAGTTTCTGGTTTCGATTACTATGCCCTACGCATCCGAAAGAAATCTTTCCCCTCGAAACCCCCTTTCGTACCCATATTTAATTAACTGGCCGAAAACGTAAGACGCAATCGAAATGTAAACAAAAGAAGCTAACACGTCACAGTGCGCAATGTTGTTGTCTGATCGAAAGTTTTTCGTATTTCGGCATTCTTTTTTATTATTTATGTTTTTTTTTTGTAGTTGCTGCAGGGCCTCTGCAGAAGTTCGTCGATGTGGTTTTTGTAGCCGGGCTTTTGGTTTTCGAATTGGTTTTCAGTTGAGTTCGCGTCGCGTTGCGTTGAGGTTGAGTTTGAATTCCGCAGAGAGAGTTCGCTTCCGTCGGTTTCACTTTCGTTAAAACTCGTGGCTGAGTCAATATGAGGCACAACCTGAGGATGCGGCTGATCCTTCTTCTGGGTCTGTGTGTGTTCATCTGCAGGACCCAAGGACAACTGATTGGAGGGGAGGAGGACGAAGAGGACGAGGAGGAGGAAGAGGAGGAGGAGAGTGTCGAGGACGAAACGCTGGAGGAGCGACTGCAGCGGAAGAACATCAAGCAGGACTCCACACTCAGCGTGGTAGGAACTAAGTTTCATAACTGAAAACAATTTCAAGGAGTTTTGTGTGACACATTTTAATCAAAAACAGAAAAATCGGTCATGATTTTTTAGAGCATCGTGATTTTTACCTAGCCTTGAATGGAAAAAAATTAAGAATCGGACAACTTTTCCATATAGCTGCCATAGGAAATATCGAAAAATCTACGTAGAATTAACGAATATTAACGGAAAAAATTATAACATCGTTGTTTTTCATCAGACAATCATATTTTTTGATTTCTAATGACTCCTGAATTTCGAATTAAATTTCATAAAAAACAATTAATTGACCTTAATTTTAAAACATGTTCGCAGCACATGCTGTATTTTTAGACTAGGGTTAATCCCCGAACCGAACAAAGACAATCTCTGGTGCAAAAAAAGATGAATGTTTAAGGAACTTGTTTGTTCCTTCTTCTTAAGAATATATAAATGAAATTTTGTAACAAAATTTGTGTATCAAAAGTTTTACTTCTATATTATTTATTGTGCTTTTTTTATTTGTAGATTTTCCACATTTCGTTTAATATTTCTAAGGATTGATTTTCTTGCATCCGTTAAAAATGTTGTTAAGAAAGATCTGCATCTACTTATCATCGCCCTTTCCTAGCAATTTAGATATGGATTTCTATACTTAGCGAAGCTAAACCGTTAATCCAATTATGACGTAGCGTTTAATCGCATTTCCGGTGCTATTGACTTTGATCGTTTTTGTTAGGATGAAACCCCTCTTAACAACTGGTGGTCAGTCTGCCAGTAAATCTCAGAATACTGGATCTTCTGTATAACTCTATCATATAGCTGCCATAGGAAAGATCGAAAAATCTATATACATATAAATACTGGCAAAAAATGATTAAGTTTTTTTTTATCCCACGGGCATGATTTTTACAAAATATTTTATATTTAAACTAACTTAATAGAAAAATCGACATAGCTTGGATGTTGTTTAGCCTTTATGTATTATGAGTGAAGTTCTATTTTGCATTACTTCATAAACCAAAGGATTTTAAATTTTCAAGATTTCTTAAGGATATTTTTCTCTGTAAAGTTTGGTTTCTCCTTCATTAAGTTGAAATAAAGACAAATCAATCTGTAGATTATTTCCCTGCTGTTGGTCATTGTCATGTCCTTTCACACATCTCGTCTGCAGGACAAATTAATCTCGAAGTACGGCTACGAGGCGGAGGTGCACCACGTGACCACCGAGGACGGGTACATCCTCACGATGCACCGCATCCGCAGGGAGGGCGCCCCGCCCTTCCTGCTGCAGCACGGACTGGTGGACAGCTCGGCGGGATTTGTGGTGATGGGTCCGAACGTAAGCCTCGGTAAGTGTCCTCCGCATCGGCGGTGATTAATGGCCAAGTGATTACGAGCGACTGGCACTTTGCAGCCTACTTGCTGGCCGACCACAACTACGATGTTTGGCTGGGGAACGCGCGGGGCAATCGCTACTCGAGGAACCACACCACCCTCGACCCGGACGAGAAGAAGTTCTGGGACTTCAGCTGGCACGAGATCGGCGTGTACGACCTGCCCGCGATGATTGATCACGTGCTGAAGGCCACCGGCTTCCCCAAGCTGCACTATGCCGGCCACTCGCAGGGATGCACCTCCTTCTTCGTCATGTGCTCCATGCGGCCCAGCTACAACGCCAAGGTGCTCTCCATGCAGGCCCTGGCCCCCGCCGTCTACGCCAAGGAGACCGAGGACCATCCCTACATCAGGGCCATCAGCCTGTACTTCAATGTGAGTAGTGCAAATATGAATAAATAATAAGAGATAGTATGTAAAAGTTGGGGTAACAAATTGAACAGCAATGCTCCTCTGTGTATGGTGATTAATTATGGTGATAGTGATTAATCGTTAAATAACATTGTTAATGTTTTTAACTTCGTTTGTATCTTAAACATTGTTTCATTTATTTTAAGGTAAGAATATTCCTCAAAATTCTCGGAAGATTTCGAGATGTCATGCGATCTTCAAAGTTTATGCAATTAATTAGCTTATTTACTTTAAAGATAAATTGGCGGCTTGTTACGATTTTCAAGGATCTTAGTTTATTTTATATGTTGTTTTAAATGTTCATATTATGTAAGCTTAATAATATATCAATAGTACCTTAACTAATCTGATTTTACTTTAAAATATTTTCAGAGTCTGGTTGGGAGCTCCATAAGGGAGATGTTTAATGGGGAGTTCCGATTTCTGTGCCGCATGACTGAGGAAACAGAACGCCTATGCATCGAGGCAGTTTTTGGAATTGTGGGTCGCAACTGGAACGAATTTAACAGGGTAACGTAATATATAACTTTTATAAAGATCAAATAAATATTTAAGATACATTGCAGAAAATGTTCCCTGTGATCCTGGGTCATTATCCAGCAGGAGTGGCTGCTAAGCAAGTTAAACACTTTATCCAGATCATTAAAACAGGCAGATTTGCACCATATAGCTACAGTTCAAACAAGAACATGCAGCTGTACAGGGATCACCTGCCACCACGATACAATCTGAGTCAGGTGACAGTGCCCACTTTTGTTTATTACTCCACGAACGATCTACTCTGTCATCCCCACGATGTGGAGTCCATGTGCGATGACTTGGGCAACGTGAGTGCGAGGTACTTGGTGCCCCAGAAGGAGTTCAACCACATGGATTTCCTCTGGGCCATCGATGTGCGGAAAATGCTCTACCGACGCATGCTGCAGGATCTCGGAAAACTGCCTGAGGATTCACCAAAAGAGGCTATTCGATCCAGAAGAGGAGTTCGTGGCAGATCGATTGGAATTTAAGTAGCTAACAAAGTTTATTTGTGTATTTATTTTCAATAAGTATTTATTCAACAAATAATTATAGTAACTAAAATAATAAAAATTTTAACCACAATTTTATTTATACACAAACTCCGTTTGGAGAAAAACACAGATTAAATGAGGTCACGGTACCCGTTTTAAATTCGCATTAAAAATAGTCCAGCTGGCAAAGCACCACGTTGTCCCAAATTCAATACTTATTTATTTATTTGCACTCCGTTGTACTTGGTTTTAAATATGGAAAGGATGCCCGTATTTGCATAGCATTTCGCATTTTCAAGTATGCATGGGCGGCTTCGGCGGAAGCGGAAGTCAAGTGTTTCTTTCGCCCCACAAAAGCCGAAACAGATTTTGCATCAACATCAGCCAGCTGGCGGGCGAAGATACATGCATTTGTAAGCAGATTTCCTGCGAGCACAATTTTCCATTTTCCCCAGTCGCAAGTCAGTGGGCCACCAGCTGACACCGAGGCCAAGAAGCTGTTGTTTCTCCCGCATTTCTTGCCCCCCTTGAGTTGGCTTTCTTGGGTTTTCAGCCCACATTGTCTCGCCATTTGCATTTCTGTGTAGCTCAGCTCGGCTCAGCTGCGCTTTTCCTGCAACACCAGCAGCCAAGTTAAGTGAAAAACTGTGTCTAACTTGGCGACAACAGAGTGGCATCCTGGTCGATTCCTCTTGAGCATATTAAGAGTGGAATATAAATATAGTTAGCTCTTCAAACTTATCAATCATAAGCCAAAACTACGTAGCAATATGCATTATCAGTTGAATTCGCAAACAACTGGCCTATAAATCATTAGGGGAAGGAAATTCTTTTCTTTTTTTTTTTTTTGGTTACAACACATTTACAGCATTTTTAAAAGTTTAATTTTTATTTTTACAAGAATGTGAAGGTTATGTAATGGTAATAATAGTATAGTAAGTATAATTTAGTAATGGTCGGTATAACATCTGTTAAACCGATGCTAATCTCATCTTGCTTTGATTAGGTAAACTAATTGTTGGTATCTGGTATACAGACACAAAATATGAACAACTAAATGTTTGATCAAAATACTCTTTCAATAAAGTACATTAATAGTTAATGGTGTTAAGTAAATTGAACGTTTCTTTTAGGAAACTAGTCGTAGGAGGTTAAGGGTACAAGTGAATTTTCTATCAGCTAGTGAGCTTTCATTTTAATCGGTATCTATACATTTTTTCCGAAATTATCACCAAATTTGTGTATCTTAAGAGTTACTTCTATAGTATATATCATGCTTATTTTAGTTATAGTTTTTCCATATTTCGTTTAATATTTCGTAAGGTTTGATTTCCAAGTTATGCTTACAAAATTTTATTAAGAAACATTTGCATGTACTTATCGTCACCCTTTCCTAGCAATTTAGATATGGATTTCTATACTTAGCGAAGCTAATCCGTTAATCCAATTAGGTCGTAGCGTTTAATCGCATTTCAGGTACTATAAAAGCCAGTAGTTTTCTTGGAATGCACTTATTGACTTTGAAACCATGGTGCCCACTGGAGTGTACTTAGTTCTTTTTGCCTGCTACGTGTCCTACGTGTCTGGATTTGGAGTGGGAACGGCAGGAGTTAACATTATAGCTCAAAATGCTGGATCCCCTGGATCGTTTGTGCAAAGGGCTACCAATAAGTTTCTGAAAGTTGCAGAAACTATGGCAGATGTTGTAGACCTGGCAGGATCAGCTACTTCTTATAAAGCTAAAGCTGTCAATGGACTTCTAGGAGCTGCAGGATCTCAAAGTGGAAGCGGGCTTGTGGGAGCGGCAGGATCTGGACTTAATGTGGTTAAAAATGCAGGCTCTGCTACTTCTTATGGAGCTCAGGCGGCCAAAGGAGTTATAGGAGCCCTAGGATCTGCAGTGAATGCTCTTCATTCTACAGGATATGAGGCTGCTAATCATAAAGCTCAAGCTGTTACTGGACTTTTAAATGCTGCAGGATCTGGACTCAAGGCTGTTCATTCCGCAGGATCTGCTACGTATCAAGGAGCTCAGGCTGCGGATGGAGTTTTAGGAGTCCTAGGAACTGCAGTGAATGCTTATCATACTGCAGGAGATACTCGTGGTTCCAATAAGGCTCAAGTTGTAAATGGACTTATAGGAGCTGCAGGATCTGGACTTAACGTTGTTAAGTCGTTAGGAACTGCTACCTCTTATGGAGCTCAGGCTGCAAATGGAGTCTTAGGAGCCGTAGGAACTGCAGTAAAAGCTATTCATTCTATCAAATCTCCAGGAGCTGCAGCAGCGTATCATGCAGATGGTCTAATAGGGCCCTATGGAAACACGGTGTCCGGAATAGTATCTCCAGGAGCTGGAGCAGCGTATCAAGATGAGGGTCTAATAGGGCAAAGGCTCCCCTATGGAAACACGGAGTCCAGAATAGTATCCCTAGGAACTGAAAATGTCTATTACGGTAGCGATGCCAATAAAGCTTCTTCTTCCTATCTCCCATACTTGAAAGTCGGATCCTCTGGAGTTTCAGGTTCCAATCCGCAATCTGCGCCTATTGGAGGTGGTGCTGGTGTCCTTGGTGTATCTGGAACTGGAACTCGTATTGTTGGACTTCCAATGCCTGCAGGACCTGTTTCCTTGGGAGCTGGTTATTCAGGTATCAGTGCTAATACTTATAAAGATTCCTCTTCTCTGCAATTTGGCGACAGTGGTTCCACCTCAAACTCTGGACACTTAAGCATCGAAGCCTCAGGAGTTTCAGGTGCCAATTCCTATGCATCAACTGATGGCGTTCGAGCTGCTAATGGAGGATCAACTGCTGGTTCTCTGCTTGCCAGTGGTGACGTTGGTGGTTCCAGTAACATGAACTTTAACATATCATACGGTGCTAACACTGGTGATCTTCGTCTTGGCTCTGCAGGAAGTTCGGGCTCTAGTTCCCTCTCAGCTTCGATTGACGATGGAGATTTGAGCAGTGGACCAGCCAACCAGGCAAATATTGGATCTTCTTCAATTGGAACACTGCAAAGTGGTTCGGAACAGGCTGATTCTGCAAAGATAACAAATGATAATGCAAATATTGGATCCTCAGGAGGAACGTCATCTGATGCAGTCTCTGGTCAATTGAATGATGGAGCGTCAGGAGCTACTGGTTTGGGATCAGGATCTGCCGGTCAACTGAGTATTGGTCCTTCAGGTTCAAGCTCCCAATCTGATACTTCGAGTTCATCGAGTTCGAGTTCATCGAAAAACGAATCATCCAATCAGTCAAGTCAATCCAGTCAAAGTTCTGTTTCTGAAATATTAGGGACGTCTGGGCCACAGTCAGGATCTAACCAAGCTTCTGGAGCTTCCATCTTCGGATTAGGATCCACTGGAACTGGTGCAGGCTCCTTAGGTTCAAGCTCCCAATCTGAATCTTCGAGTTCATCGAGTTCATCGAGTTCGAGTTCATCGAAATCGGAATCATCGAAATCGGAATCATCATCAAGTCAGACAATTGGGACTTCTGGGCTACAGCCAGGCTTTTTCCAACCTTCTGGAGCTCCAATCTACGGTGCAGGATACACTGGAACTGGTGCGTCAGTTGGTTTTGAAATTGACTCCGCCTTCGGAAAAGGATGGCCTGGAGTATCGGATGCTTTAGCAAAGTCTTCAAAGATAATTATTGGAGCTTCCCCTAGTTCGATTCCCGTAGTTCCTCTCGGATCCGTTTCTTATGGATCTGGTGGACTGATAGTTGGAGCACGTCCACAAAAGTCCCCAATCGCTGGATTATGGGCATTAAAGAGCAAGGTTGCATCTGCGGCTCATGGTGCCCTCCGTACATTGATACAACCTAGGACTCTCCCGGAAACTCGCTTCATCAATGGAAATCCTCTTTACTTTGGTTCATCAAACGTAGTAAGTCCTCTGAATGGGAATGGTCTGAGGTATCAAGGAAGTCCCGGTGTAATCTCTGGAAGTAAGGGGAAGTATCTCTCTGGGTTCAAATGGTCTGAAGCTTGAAGGAAATGTCGGCGGAATCCCTGGAAGAACTCCAAGGGGAAGTATCTCTCTGGGTCCAAATGGTCTGAGGCTTGAAGGAAATGCCGGTGGAGTCCTTGGAAGTCAAAAAAGGGGAAGTCTCGTTCTGGATAGAAATGGTCTGAGACTTGAAGGAAATAAGGGTGGATTGGCTGGAAATGTTGCAGTTGGATTAGGCGGTGTCCAAATTGCCAAATACAGCAACCCATTCGCGGGAATTTATTACTAAAGCAATCCAGAGAAACAGCACTTTATAAATACAATCATGTTCGCTGTATACTGTATAAGAAGTTTTATTGAAACTAGCTTATGAATTATTTTTGCCTCATCAAGAATAAATAAAGCACCTCAGTAAAATGCAGTAAGCGTTTAGTTTTATACGAAAAACGGAAATGCTTGAGTAATTTGCTAAACAACACGTGCTTATATCGACTTAATTAAAAGTCTTTTAATTTCGTAGTTTAGCGCGCTATTAGTAAATGCTAGTAGAAATGCAAATTCAAAGTTCAAATTAAAAGTAACTAAACCATGAAACGTTTGCCGTAGTTTACTACTGCTATAAAATACTACATGTATTCGAATATTATTGATTGCATCTATATCCACTACAATCTAAGCAAAATAATATTTACCTTGCTTATTAAAAGTGTCTAGTAATTTTATATAATGCATCACTTTTTGTTACGATTGTGTTTTACTCTATCAAACCAGAGTGACGTAGACCCCAAGGGTCATTGTCGTAACCATCAAACGCCTCCGAATATGATTTAAATTAAAATCAATCTAATCTTGGGCGAGTCGAGGGACAGTGCAGCTATTTCCGATCAAGTGATGATTAAATTTGTTTACATAAGAGTATACTAATATTAATTCGAATAGTGACGAGGCTTATACACTCTACCTCATGCTAATTACAGTACAAGCGATATTTATTCTTTTATTTGGAATACATTTTCTGGCTATTTTGCAATTAACAATAGAAATCGGACCTGCCATCATTAAGTTAATTCATCGATCATTCCTGCTGATCGCTATCATGAATCTCCAGCGGGTTTGAATACGCCTTCGCAAACATTCGGTTCTTCCTAAGGGTATAAGGTAATTTCCAGCAGTAGACAATCAAGAATATTAAAATGTATTGAAGCTCGGTGTTGTTCTCTACGGGAGATAATTACACTGTGCAGCACAAATTACCTATACTTTGTATAAACAATACTCTTTCAGAAGGTCATGTCCAATAATGATTTACAAATGAAATAAATTGTTGTATTTAAATTTAATAACCAATAAGTTATTAGGCTAATAATAATTAATAAAATAGGGTTAAGAAAGTACATTATAAATGTGATAAAAAATATATAAAAAAAAATATTTAATTACCTATCTCTTATCTTAAAAGTAAAAAATTAAAGACTGCTTTTCTATTTGAGTTTTTATATTCACAAAACTTGAATCTGATTTCAGTTTTTCGCACTTTTTTTATGATAATACATATTTTTTTTTTTAAATTATATATTTTGCTGGCTAGTTTATTTTGAGTTTTTGCCTGTTTGTGACCCTAGGATCCCAGCACTCGGAACGTGACTCGGATTGCTGTTCTTTTTTACTCGCGCTCTGCGAAATTTTTCGCAAGTATTTTGCTATTATTTGTGCTTTTTGCCAATCGGAATCTCTTATAAAAGCCGGCATCTGGGTGGGGAGCACAGTTAGTGAGCTGCAGGCAAAGGTTCCGATGCGTCTGTTTGTGGTCTTGAGTGTTTGTGTGGCGTTCGCCTCCGCCGGCGGTTACGGAGGCGGAGGAGGTGGTTACGGCGGCGGTGGAGGCGGAGGATACGCCGGTTCCTCTGCATCCGCTTCAGCAGGAGCGGCTGCCGGCGGCGATGGAGGCGGTAAACTGGGCGGCGGATTCGGATCCGGCGGTCTCGGTGGATCTGGTGGACACGGTGGCGCTTCTGCCGGCGGACTTTCCGGCGGATCAATTGGAGGAGGTCCCTTCGGTGGAGGCGGTCACTCTGGCGGAGGAGTTATTTCCGGTGGAGGTGCCCACGCCGGCGGTGGTGGTGGAGGTCCTGGATTCGGTGACGTCGGAGGAGGTCCTGGCTTTGGATCTGGCGGACTAATTGGCGGTGGAGGCGGTCATTCCGGCGGAGGCGGTGGTGGTGCCCACGCTGGTGGTGATGCTCATGCCGGCGGTGGTGGTGGAGGACCCGGATTCGGCGGTGGAGGCGGTCATGGTGGTGAAGGCAACGGAATCGGTGGAGGTCCTGGATTCGGAGGAGGAATCGGCGGAGGAGGCGGTCATTCAGGAGGTGGAGGAGGCGGTCATTCAGGAGGTGGAGGCGGTCATTCCGGCGGAGGTGGCCTAATTGGTGGCGGCCCTGGATTCGGTTCGGGAGGAGGTATCGGTGGAGCAGGAAGCTCTGCGTCCTCATCGGCCGGTGCTTCTGGTGGCGGATTTGGAAAGCCAGGTGGCGGCTACGGAGGCGGAAGCTTTGGACCAGGAGGCGGAATCGGAGGTGGAGGAATTGGAGGAGGAGGCCACGGAGGAAGTGGAATTGGAGGAGGCGGAATTGGCGGAGGTGGAATCGGCGGAGGTGGAATCGGTGGAGGTGGAATCGGTGGAGGAGGACACGGAGGTGGAGGACACGGAGGCGGTGGACCCGGTTTCGGAGGAGGCGGCTTTGGCCCCGGCGGAGGACCCGGTGGTGGCCACTTTGGAGGCGGTCTGAGCGGACATGGTCACAAGCACGGAGGAGGTGGCGGATACAAAGGCGGTTCCGGCGGATACGGAGGCGGCGGCGGTGGCGGCGGAGGAGGAGGTGGCGGCTACGGAGGCGGACCCGGAGGCGGTGGCTTCGGAGGAAAGCCCGGAGGTGGCTACGGAGGCGGACCTGGCGGTGGTGGAGGTGGCGGATACGGAGGAGGTAGTGCGAGCGCCTCTGCTTCGGCCAGTGCATCCGCGGGAGCTGGTGGAGGATACCACGGCTAGTCGCAGTCACCCAAGCCAAGTGACCCTGTAATTCCCTAAATCGCTTGAAAGTATTACCCTCGATTTCAATAAAACGATTAGTTTTGGTTTGACCTTAAACTAATTTTAAAAACTTTAAATAATACTTCGTTTATTTAATTAAGTTGGTGGAAAGTTAGTTGGGGAGTGTTTTAATATAAAGAAAATCAATTTTTCCCTTTTTTCCTTGTGTAAATTTGGAAATTTAAAATGAATTATACCTTTGCAAAATAATTATAGAATTTATTTTTCAAGTTCAAAAAAGGCAATATTTTGATTTCTATCAAACCTTCTGGTATTCATATGAACTTTATATAAAAAAAAACCAAATCAATTAGTTGAACAAATTTAATTTAACAAAAATATATTAATGTATTTATGATCTTGTGCGTACCTTAGCTTGTATAAATTTAGATTTTGTATTCTATTATTTATACGAAAACCGACTTCCCCTAATTCAAACTACTAAAGGTCTTGTGAAATTTTTTCTTAACGTGAAACCCGGTGAAAAGTGTGAAAGTTACGTGATGTCCTTGATGGAAGACATTTGCCCGCGAAGCAGTGGTTGGCCATTAGGATAAGGTGGGGGAAAACTTGCTCCCTTTTGGCGGTTGGGAAATCTGACATGCAAAGTTTTCGACAAAATTAATGGCCTATTAGAGGGGACCGTGGCAGAGAGTTGTATTAGCCGGCAACCGAAGACATTGATGCCGCTCATGGACACATAAATCTCCTAAATGGCCAAGACAGACTGCGCTCTTCTCGGATTTTATGTGTCCCCCACAAACATTTATCATTAAGTAAAGTTTTACTATTGCAAATTGTTGCACACAATGGCAGCAAATTGAAATCTTAAGCAAGCTTCTTTGCTTCGCCTTTGCCTTTGGCTTCAGACTCGGGCTGAAAGTGCACTTTTATTGCCGGAGGAGCAGCATCTGGAGTCCGGAGTTCCAAGTCTGGAGTTTGTAGTCCGGAGTCTGGACCCAGCAATAAACTGCGAGAGCAATTTGCACAAGGACGATGAACCCCTGTGGTGCAGTTTTGCAACATATAAGCGGAAGAGCGGAAGTTGGGCCAACAGTCTGTTGGCGGTTTGCCACAGAGTCGCTGCTGCAACAGTTGTTGGCCTTTGTAGCACTGACAATATGGCCGGGTCCTTTGTCCTTTGTTTGCTGCAAATTTATGTCGGGCAATAAAATAAATGCGAAATGTTTATCAATGTGCCGCCGATGCAAATATACGAGTGTTCAGCCTTCCACTCTGCCTCATCTCAGGTGGTGCCTCAAAGTATGCCGCATTCCATTCCCGATTTCAAATCCGATCTCCCACAACTCCAGCGCCCGAATGTAGGCAATATATTTCGGCTCTGCCGGCCGGCATTTAATTAAAATTAAATAATTCAGATTGCATATCGAACTCTAGTCTGTGGTGGCCAGCCCATATCCATAACCGAATGGTTTCCCGGCCGGATCGCTTTGTTCATTAGCCCGCTGGCGGGATAATTGAAAAGTTTGTACTGCCTGGGCGCGGGTAATTCAATTTGCAGAGCCAAGTGGAAAAACTATGGAAAATGGCAATAACAATAAACGCCGGGCTAAAATGCGAAAATATTACAGAGCCCTGATTGCGGGCGCTTGTGTGTTTACATAATTAACATGACGTTCATTAGTTGGCATTTTAATAATATTTCATGTTGTCATGGCGAACGTTGCAGCCCTCTGGCTAATGTGATAATATTCATTTTTCCTGGGCTCAAATTATTTCAGTTTGATTGATTTTAATAAACTAATATTTGCCCTGGCAGTTTATTATTAAAGTTCTCGGGTTATTTATTCGCGGTATATTGGTTTTGGAAAGTGTTCACCTGAATTGCCAGCTTAGACAGCTAATTATTTAGATTTTTTAAAACTATTCATCTACTGCGCCATTTTTATACCATCAATCAGGCAATACAAAGAAGTCGCTTGGAGAAAAATCACATAACGCCCAAAGCTCGGGCTTATATAAATGTTCAAAAAGCCTCACCGCAAGTGTGGCAAAAAAGGAAAAATATAAATAAATAAACGATCCAGGGACCGACCGGTTTAATTAGGCGATTATGTTGCCGACTTTTTGCATAAGAAAAACAGCGAAAACAAAATTCAAATCGCCGGCAAACTAATGACTTTAATTAATGTGGGTTCAAAGTACAAATAGGCTTCTGTGTTTCAGGATTAACCGCTGACTTAATCGGCCTCCAAAAATCACCGAATTCTGAATACTTTGCTAATTCTATTATCACAACTTCTGACCTGGAAAACCCCTTCGAAATATGAGTCGCTAATCGTCACCCAAGCCTCCGATCATCTCTGGAACTCAAAGTTTGCTGTGACGACACTAAAACAGGTTTTGCCCACCTGTATTCTAATTCTATATAGATGCGATATTTGTGTTTGTTGTTTTGTTAATTAACAGCCCCCGAAATCTTGTTCGCTGCGCATGGGAGGCTTTATTGTTATGGACTGTTAAGACTCAGATCTCGAAGAGCCCGAGATATGGGGATTTTGCGATTGCTATCGTGTGCTGTCTCATTAAAATGTGTGATTTTTTCTCCCTAATGATCGGTGTAAACATATCGTTTTGCTAAGAGATCGTAAAGCTTAAAGTAGCCATGAATGGGAGATTTCACTCCGGGACTATTTTTTACTCATTGCAAGTGTAAGTGCCGGATTTATTTGCTTGGGTGAAACTGATCACAATTGCTGGTCGTCAGTAAGTAAAAATAAGTTGAGACATATAGCTATTATTTCCAATTGTAGTAATTGTAGTAAGCTTTGTTTATTTTTTAAACTCTTAAATTTACTTTCACTGAATATAAAATATTGATGATGCACTATTTTTACACATAAAGATAATGAGATGTTTTTATTGATTTAGGATTGGAAAATTTACTGGTACTTTCAGATATTTAGGATTCATTTTTTTTAAAACACAAACAATTTTAAAGAACATTTTTAATTAATTGAAGTACTTGAATTAACTACTTTTGCACTTTTCTTTTCTATTAACATTAGTAATTCCCGGTAATATTATTTGTCGATCAATCACTACCAAGTCAGAAAACCTATGTGTTGTGCGATCGAAACGAAATTACTTTCTGATCCATCTTTTGTGCAGAATGACCGCGAAACCCAGAGAAATGTCCAATACTCATCGGCTATCTGTCAGTGATCTCACCACCTCCAACTGGCCCACTCCACTTGAGCAGCGTTTTAAAAAACATCGCCATCGAAACCGCTTTCTGACGAACAAAACAAGATAGAGGGGAATAAACTCTTCAAGATGAACTTGTCAGATGATCGGCATTAGAAAAAATCAACCTGCGGAGAGTACTCATCATTTTCGGTGGGAAATTACGCAGATCAGGAAGAGCCGAGTTTAAACTGAGTCTGTAAACACGTTGGGCGTCGTTTCTCGAACTCTAACACATGGGTCACCTAATGGGCGTGGGTCGATAATTATGCCTTTTCATACTTCGGAGCGTGTATGGGGAACCACCCGGCAAAAAGCATCACAGACTTGACCACCAGCACTATGCGGCAAAGTATTTATGCATTTGTTAACAAAGAGTATGGTCGAATAAGCCACTGAACCTTTTATTTCTATTTTATTGTTATTAATAATTTTAAGAAAATTAACCATTTCCTTTCTTTTTTTATAACATTTCTAATATTTTCTAGAAAAGAAGTGACTAATTGGTAACATTTCTTAAGTCACTTGATTCGTTAAAAAAATTATTTACGGTTTTTGTGGGGAAGAACTGCTAACTAACATGTATCATAAACAATTCTTTCATTTAACGTTTAAATTTAGTTAAAAATAAATGGAGAAAAAAGACACTTATTCTACTAATTAAACCAGTTAAATTTAAAGTCGCTTATTACAAAAATTTTTGTAAGCTAGTGTAATTAGATCTGAGAGCAAATGGAATACAATAAAAAGAAAACCGGTAGGTGATCGGCCAAGCTGCCGAAAGCATTTATCACAGCCATCTCGCCTCAAATTTGACTCGCCGGTATGTGACGACTTTTGGAACAATGCAGGCTGTATAAATACTTTAGCGAATCGGCCGAAAGTCCGTCAGTTCCAGTAAAGGCAACCTAGTGATCGCACATATTAAATCCATTAAACCCAAGGAACAAATTGCGAAATGAAGACCCTGATTGTTCTTGTTCTGTTGGTGGCAGTCGTCTCGGCTTTGCCGCAATTCGGATACGGACCCGGATTCGGAGGTGGCGGATTTGGAGGCCCCGGATTCGGAGGACCCGGATTTGGCGGCGGATACGGCGGACCCGGATTTGGTGGTGGCGGATTTGGTCCCGGCTATGGTGGTTATGGAGGAGGACCCTACGGCGGATTTGGCGGTAATCCCTACGGTGGATTCGGTGGAGGATTTGGCGGCCGCCGTCGCCACTTCGGCGGTGGACGTGGTGGTTTTGGTGGTGGCGGCGGTGGCGGTGGTGCTGCCTCAGCCTCCGCCTCATCGAGCGCATCTGCAGCAGGAGGAGGTGGTGGAGCCGCCTCCTCATCCGCCTCTTCATCCGCCTCGGCCGCCGGCGGTGGCTTCTTCGGTTAACTGAGATGAGAAGCCATAAGTTAAGATACGTTAAGTTATTATAAAGTGATATAAACGATTGAAGAAAGTCTGAAATACAAAAAATCTAAATCCTAATACAGCGTATTTTATTGCCCGAAAATGGAAAACTCTATTTTGAATAATTATTACGTTATTGCCAGAAAATAAGTGAATGAAAAGTAGTTTAAAAAATATTTGCAGCATCATTTTTGTGGTAGCTTTTTTTATTTTTACTAGTTCTTTTTGCACAAAGACTTTGTTGATGTGTAAAGTGTGAGAAATTTTTTTGTAATATTTTTCTTTAGAACAATAAATTATATATGAAAAATCTTTTCATTTATGTTGTTATTAAAAAAATTTAAAATTGTATTTAGCTTCAAACAAAAACATTTTAATACAAGACGCATTATTAAAGCATTACCGTAAGAACCTTTCGTTCTGCTTTAAATTTGTAATATTCTTTTTCTTGGGATATTAAAAACAATACGACTCGGCATATTCCCACAATTTAAGCTTTGTTTTAATATATGTTTAAAAATACCATTCACACTCAAATGCAACTTAGTAATTGTTTACTTAAAAATCTGTATAATTGGCTTCAACTTTGGCAGTCACAATTTACTGAACTGTAGAATTCTTACAGAATCAGGAACCCTCAATTTTGATATTATTCTTAAAACTTTTTATGTACGCTTCCGAAAGAGGATAATCTGCATAAAATTGCCGTTAATTTATGCATATAAGTCAGCAAATATAATAAAAATAGTTGCGCATACATGTGTCAAACTTTCTGATAAATTTAGCTTGGCTGATGCGGGTTTTCGGATGTAGGAGACTTTTAAGTGCCCTGTTACATATTTATATGCCCTACTGAAACTCAAAAGATCACTTGGCTCACTTTCAATTGGGACTCCCCTCAAAACGATCCACTCTTTGGATTATTGCTATTTTTTCATTGCTTCCCAAAAACTGAACAAACACAATTAAAAAAATCGATTCATTTGAATTTCAAATTTTCGGGATTGTGTTTTCTTTATCATGTCTCTTGTATTAATTAGAATAATTAACATTTCAGATTTGACCAAATACACGTTTTATAACATTATCAATTATATTCGGCTTTTATGGAAGCTTAAGTAAACAAACAAATAAAAAGCTGTGCTTCGCAAAAAAACAAAAGCGTTTAAAAGCTGAACAGATGGGTAAAAGGTAAGCAAAAAATTTCATAAATTATACTGGACAGTAAAATCAGTCATCTGCTTTTGATACAATAAAGAGAATTAAGTATAAGCTTCCTAGAGATGGTTAAAATGAACTAGTTCTAGTGTAATTTAAAGTTTTATTATTATTTTTTTGGTTTCTTTGCAAAATTAAATCGCTTTTGGAATTGAAAAAAACCAAACTTTAGTTAAAAAGTTTGATTAATACAATTCTTAACTTATAAAAAAAATATAAAAACTGAAACATATATTTTTTTTATTAATACAAAAGGTTTGATTAATACAATTCATAACTTATATAAAAAATTAATAAAAACTGAAACCAATATTTTTTTATATATAAAAGATAGTTGCTTATTACCCATAATGAGTCGACTGAAGATTGATTATTATTGTGAAATATTGTAAAGATTTTTGTTAGAAATCTTCGAGGTATCAGCACATTACACAGCAGATGTGGGCTTTCCCTAAGTACTTTTTCATAAATCTACCTGAAGTGTAGTTTAGCCTGAGGAAATATGTGTCTGCTACCTGCCTCCCTACACTTTCCGATCCGAAACTACTGTGATATATGACATCACTGGCACGAAATCCATCGTTATGCTGTCGATCTAATGGACGGCTGGAGAAGGGGGCACGTCCGAGGTGCTCTGCTCTCGACTCTGGGATTAACCGGTTGCAGCGGCGATCGACAGGCCGGGTCTACTTTGCGTAGGGTCCGCCGGTCGGACGCACCGAACCTGCTAATGAGCCGAGCTATAAATATTGATAATTCGCTCTGTCTTTTTCTAAATTGTTTTTGTTGGTTTGTTTTTCTACTGGCGTCGGATTAGTGCGGAGAGTACGCTTGCGGGTGGATCACCGGGAGATCAGCGGATCGCCTCCCTGGCGCGGAACTGAATAAAAGCCGGCGACCGGCGTTGCATTGGCCAAGTGTGTGGACCACTCTCGAAGCGGCAACAACTCGAGGAAAGGGAAAAATGAAACTATTCGTCGCGCTCTCCGTTCTGGTGGCTGTGGCATCGGCCCTGCCCCAATTTGGTGGCGGCAACGCCAACGCCAATGCGAATGCCAACGCGAATGCCCAAGGCTTCGGAGGCGGCGGATTCGGAGGTCGTCCTGGATTCGGAGGCGGTCCTGGATTCGGAGGTGGCGGCTTTGGAGGTGGCCCTGGATTCGGCGGTGGCGGATACAGAGGTGGCCCAGGATTCGGCGGTGGCCCCGGATTCGGCGGTGGTGGCTTTGGAGGTGGCCCAGGATTCGGCGGCGGCGGATTCGGAGGTCGTCCTGGATTCGGAGGCGGTCCTGGATTCGGAGGCGGCGGCTTCGGAGGACGTCCTGGCGGCGGTTTCGGAGGCGGCGGCGGCGGTGGCGGAACTGCTTCCGCGTCGTCCTCCTCCTCGGCGTCTGCTGGTGGTGGCGGTGGACGAGGTGGTGGCGGCTCTGCCAGCGCCTCTTCTTCCTCTTCCGCTTCGGCGGGTGGCGGCGGATTCCGCGGCTAGACCAAGCCAAAAACTACCTGAGATTAAGCCTTAAGAAATGACTGTGAATAAAACATTATTAAATTTAAAGAAAAATATCTTTATCTGTGTTTGATTTATCTTTTAAACCCTTATTAAATCCTGAAACCATAAGTTAACTGGGAAGGAAACAATAAATAAATTAGCCGCAGAGGCTTTTTGGTCGCAGACTTTTGCTGAAATTAGCTTGGTCTAAACTTTTCGATCCAAATTAATATTTTGAAACTCATTAAGTGATTGGCTAGTTGCTGCCAATAAATGTTACATATACTACAGTATATATTATTTTCGCCTCCCTTGAGATAAATCAAATTGAAAAGCAAAACTTTACTCTTTCATGAACTTGCTGTACTTTTATGTTCGAGCGGCGCAATCGTTATAACGTCAGCACAAAATTATATACAGCAGTTTATATTTCATTTATGGTTATGGTCGATTGAATAATGATTACTATTTTTGGTTTCGGTCGGTTGATTGTTGATTTCTTTATCGGTTGTTTGATTATTTTGTTTAATCGTATATTAATTTATTATTATTCTTAATATTACTGTTAATTATAATTTAGTTTTAAAACTACATATGCAGAAAATTTTAAAATGCCTCAAATTGTATAGCAAGTAGCTTTTGTCGACCTATTCGTTTTGATGACAACCCTGTCTGATTTTATCGATTCAACTCGATAGATCTCACGTCCGCAGTTTACATTAACATTTCTATTTTGCCAGTCCGGCAGCCCAATTAATTTGAATTTCAAATTAAAACTGTGTTGAAAACAAACTTTAATCTGTCGCTAAAAATTATGCAAATTTTATAGGGGCTCGTGCGGTCACCGGTAAATTACAGCAAAACACATATGAGCAAACTGTCTATAATATTATTATTTATTAAATGGAATAAATTTTGATTCCTGGTAGAACAAGGAAGCAGCCAGAACAGTGTTAATTAAAGCAAGGTGTTCCACTTTTAAAAGACTAGGGGCAACACACGAATGATGCCGGTTTACGGGTTTTGTTTTAATACTAGGGAATATTATAATATTTGAACTATTAGAAAAAACGGATCAAGTCGTACTGATATAAATACCGATTATTCAGCATGTCCTTAAAAAAGTTGTGTTGTATATATATTTTTTACATTAATTCATAAGAAAAACATACTTTATGTATAGCTGCAATCATACCTTTGATAATTTTTAATGATAAGACTTTTTTCAGTAAACAGCTTAACAACTTTTGCCAACGTTTTAGTTGGTTTAGAATCTCGGAACAGCGCTTGCTCAATGCTCAATACTCGTTCTACCTTGGCTTTATTTTTTTTTGACAACAAACATATATAGTGCTGATAGTAAATGGTGAAGTATTCAGTCAAACTCTGTGATAATTAACTGCCCCCGCATCGTTTCCCTTCCGAAAAGCGACGCGGTGACAGTGCCGAAAATAAAGATGAAAAATAAAGGCTAATGAAATATAAACACAAATATTAATAATCGTTTAAATATTGATAGCGGTAAACCGGTTTCATATGGAAACCACCACGAACGCGGCTCGTGTTGGTTTAAAGATTTGCGAACTTTCCTTAGACCATTGCATTTAATCTTGGCTCAAACCGACTCTTTCTGGCGCCGTCTGTCCCGCCTAGAAATCCCCCCATCTGCGATATTATTTTTCGGCGGTGACTATTGTTTGCATGCTAATTTTTTCCTGAGTGGCTAGCTCGGTTTTTTATTTTTTTTTTTTGTGTGCCGTCTGCCGTCCGTCTGGCCGGTATAAAAGCCGGGCCCTGCGGCACTGGCCATTAAGTTTGCTCAGTCACTCCGATCAAGCAGATCAGATCGTCATGAAGGTCTTCGTGGTTCTTGCCGTCATCCTGGCCGTTTCCGCCGCCGCTCCCCAATTCGGTGGCGGCAATGCCAACGCGAATGCTAACGCCAACGCCGAATCCGAAGGTCAGGGTGGATTCGGTGGTCGACCAGGTTTCGGTGGTCCAGGCGGTTTCGGTGGTGAAGGCGGTTTCGGTGGACAAGGCGGTTTTGGAGGCGGATTCGAAGGCCAACGTGAAGGTGGCTTTGGAAACAAGCGACCAGGCGGTTTCGGAGGACCTGGCGGTTTCGGCGGACCAGGAGGACCGGGCGGTTTCGGAGGAAATGGCGGTTTCGGAGGACAGGGCGGTTTCGGAGGACCAGGAGGCTTCGGCGGTGGCGGTAATGCCAATGCCGATGCTAATGCCAACGCCAACGCCGAGGGCAACGGATTCGGAGGATTCGGCGGAAATGCTAACGCTAATGCCAACGCCAATGCCAACGCCGAGGGCAACGGATTCGGTCCAGGATTCGGAGGCGGTAACGCCAATGCCAACGCTAACGCCAACGCCAGCAGCCGCGGCGGATCTGCCAATGCCAACGCAAATGCCGTTGCCAGCGCCGTCGGCAAATAAGCAGTTGCGAATACGATCCGAATTTCTCCACTGATTAGTTTTTTAATATTTATAAAAAATAAAAATTAAAAAAAAAAACAGATATTTTAGATTTTTTATTCGACAAAAGGACGAGACCAAAAACCCGAAAAGAATATGAGCGAAGAAAAAATAAGGGCTTTATTGTTAATAATAGAACACCTTGATAGCTTTTTAACATTGATAAGAGAAAAAATTTTTTTGACGGTTACATTTCTAATTTTAATTACGATCTGGATTAATTACGAAAATTGAACAATTGGAAAAAATATCTATTTTAAAGGAGACCTGTTATTTAGTAACAATGCAAACCTCCGAATTTTGGCACTGTTTAGTTGTTAAGTACTTATCAAAATTTATTTTTCTTTTGTTTTTGAGGAAGTGAAATTTATGTTTATTGAAAAAAAGAAGTATCTTAACAAAACATTAAATTTGTCTTTAATTTTATTAAATTTGTACTAACCTATCAAACGCCTTTGCATCGCTTTGAGAACAGGTTTGTTAGACTTATCGTTAAACCAAAAAATAATGATTAAAAATTTTCCGATGCTATAAAAAACAAGTCTTTGTCTTTGTTTTACTTGTCATTAATTTGGGAAGCACAAAAAGTATTTAACCAAAGTCAGTTGATTGTGATCAGCCAAACCCACTTGCTTGTCAAGTAAGAGGAGTATTTTATTATTCTCATAAGAAAAAGAACCGCTCAACTAGATATTTGTCGCTTCTTAATATCGATTTGTTCTGTGTTCTGCTGATAATGATGATTTCTATAAAAAACCTTATTCAATTATAACTTTATTCTTAGCATCAAACATTAAAAAAGTGTACTGCAATTCATTTGTTGTAAAATATAGCGGTTTGCTTTTTAAATTAGAAATTTTTAAAACGGTCCTGTTTGTTCTACTTTTTGTCAACAAAAGAACAGACATTGTTAAGAATTTATTGTTGTCTTAATACACATGCTTGTGTTTTGTTTAGCGAAATCCTAATTATGCAAATAGTTCTTGCGAACTAATGCCATAAATTAAAAAAAAAAACTGGTTCCGTGGCTACCGTTGAGGTTTAGCCAGATGTGGAATTATAATTATGATTAACCCGAAAAGTTATAAATTTTTTTATACAAATTTTATGCAATGAGAAAACTTTCTAAAAAGTTGGCAAAAAACAAGAGAACACTTATTGTTTGATTTAATTGTGTGGGCTGCATTTTAGTTAGCAAACTTTGAATTATGCTAATAAATTGATCAAATCAAAGCCATGGGAAACCGGTTTTTGGCTATCCAGGAGTTAACAAAAACATAAACAGTGGAGTTTATGATTGCCTAACTATTTCATTGTGGTGTTGGAGATTAACATTTGTGGTTTGACGTCATAGCATCTACAAACTTTCTTATAGACCAATGAGGACCAAAACACAAGTTTGCGAAATGTAAAGCGTTTGGCAACTTGGAAAATATATTTGAAGGTTTTTGTCTTTTTATATATAAATCAGTAATATCAGTTATTAAAAGTTTCTTCTAAACATAAGCTGCTCAGTTAAGAATTTAATTCTTGAGCATTAAAAAAACTTATTAAGCCAATTGCATTTTTTTTTAACTTTTTTAACATTTCATTTTCCTGGTTTTTAAAAATGTAGCTAGCTTTTAGGAGCCCTAAGAATATTTCATTGACGTCATAAAATTTTTTAATTAGGCATGACTTGATAAAATAAATTTGATTATGAACTAGAAAAACAAAAAAAAACTGTTGTGAGTTCCAAAAAAGTTATTAGCATTTCAAGATTTTTGATTTGCCTTTAAGTTTACTTGTAGCCAGTTTTTTGGCGGGCACTGAAAAAACTACCACAGTAGTTATTTGTGAAAAAAAATCTTCAGTTTTTTAATTTTTAGTTACAGTTTCTGTTTCAATATCTAGCCAGTTTTTAGGAGGCCTCCGATAAGTTATTTGACGTCATTGCAATTTTTAAATTATGCAGAACTGCACAAGATAAACTTGTTTTTAGAGAAATAGTAAACAACAGTTTTGATTTCCGAATATTGAGCATTTATTGATTCGCTTTGAGTTGGGAGGCCTGTCGGTAGACGTGCCCACTTTTCAAGGCGGTTTCGAGAGTCCAGTTGTTATTCCTTCCGGGATCCTATCCTCGTGTGTGGCTGGGATTCCTTCCAGGATCCAATCCTTTTGATGGCCGTCTAATACTGCGAGGTGGCGACGGCGTTTGCGTTTGCAACTGCGGATGAAGGTCCGCCTCCACGGCTGTCGGCCTGGGCGTTGGCATTTGCAGTGGCGGAGGCACCACCACCACCACCACCAGGACCGTAGGCACCACCACCACCAGGACCGAAGCCACCACCACCACCAGGACCGTAGCCACTACGACCACCACCGTGGTGGCCACCGGGATTTGCCTGCACGGCCACCAGGGCGAAGATCAGGAAAATGCAGATTGCCAGGAACTTCATCGTGAGCGATTGTTATGTATTCTGGCCGAGTGACGGCCTCTTTTATAGCAGCATCCACAACAGGTGGCTCAGACTCGAATTCATTAAAAATCACAATACAACGGGAACAAGATATTATACGTATATATTTATAGGGGGTTCCGTTTAGCACATAAATTAGACATATATTAAAAACGCACGACGCTTGATATTATTTAATGCGAGTATACTATACCATCGGTAATTAAGAACAGGTTGGCTTTGAGAAGTCTTAGTATTTTGTCAAGTAAAGCATATTTCCAGGCAGTCTAGAAAGCTCCATCGTTAAATTCGCTCCTAAGCTGTTTGGCAAAAAGGTACTTTTGTCCAATTTCACAATTTTATAATGTCACTCTGGGCAGAGTCCTCGTGATTCACTTGTATCTTTTTTTTACTAATACAAGATTTAATTAAAATTGAAATTTGCATAACATATACTCAACCTAATTTTTGTTTGTGTATCTACATAAGTAGCTGAGTCTGTATAAAAGACACGATCTTTAACTGTTTAAAATCATAAAAGAAGAGTAATGATTTAAATCATTATTATTTTAATAATTATACCAGAAAGCTTCCGATTTCAAGTTATTTTATTAAAATTAACAAAAACAAGAGAATTCGTCATAAAAATTCAGGTTTGATTTCGCTGTTTAGGGTTAATTTTTTATTTTTTTATTTTTATATTACTTATTTAAGTAACTTAACCATAATTAAGATGCTAAATAGCCATAAAACACACAAAAAAGCATTTGAAGCATTTCGCAAGGCTTAAACAATGATTGACTTGTTATGATTACATCCGTTTTTCAGGTATACGAGTATATAAGGAAACTATTCCAATTTGGACTCCATTCTTCCAACAGAATTTGACCTTACAAGAGTAAGATAATATACGTTTTAAACTTCTGACAAAGTAATAACAAAGCAGTTTTCATATTTCAAATTTTTTATTGAAGGGCAATGAGTAGGGTTTGCAGTAGGTCTCAAAATCAGCAGGAGAAATGTTACTTCCTATTAGTAAAATCCTCCGTATGGACTTCCGTATCCTCCAGCATTTGAGCTCGCACTGGCGTCAGCTCTTGCGGAAGCTCCTCCGAAGCCCCCACCGCCACCAAAGCCGGGATAGCCGCCAGGTCCTCCGAAGCCGGGTCCGTAGCCACCACCTCCAAATCCGCCATAACCTCTGTGTGGATTGGCCTGGACTGCCACGAGGGCAAGGATCAATAGAGCGCAAATTGCAAGGAACTTCATCGTGGGTGTCTGTTGTGCCATCTGATAGAAAGTGGGAGGCTTTTATACAGACATCCCGAGTTAATCGGAATCGGTAATTGAACCAGTTCCTGTTTTTATTTATGTCAATCGCTATTACCAAATGCTGATTGTATTTTTAATTGTTTTTAATACTTGTCACTTACTTCAATTTCAAATATTTGCATTCGGAACTTGTTTCAACAGAAGTCTGTTTTTAGGTTTGTTTAATTTTGTTTCTTATGCAAATTCAAAAAACAAATAAAATTCTTATTTTTGATATAACGGCAGACTTCAATATTTTTGGAATTGAAAGGGGATATCCCCGATCATTTTAATTGCTTTGAATTAATTCGAATAATTATTCGAAATTGTAAAGGCTACACATTTTAGTTAAAATATAAATATAATTTGAATAATATATATATTCAGATAATGTGTACCCACCTTTGTTAAATCATGAGTCATTTAAAAATTGAAAATATTATTTGTGTTAAAAAAAGGCATAGTTTTGGGCTGGAACAAAAATTGTTATAAATCTTTAAAACAAGCTTTTGAAAATAAACCGGCTGTTGTTAAAGCTGGTATGCTAGCTTTGTAAGAAAAGGACGCGGTTATAAACTTTTTCTTGCCATTAAGAAATGTTGAATAATTTCACGCTGTAAATGGTTTGAAAACCTTAATTACCCAGAATGGAGGAAGTGATATTTTAATTGATGATCGACAACGAAAAATACCGAAAATAAAATCATTTTTTAATAACAACTAATTATCTATGACTTTTATAGCTTTAAGCCTGAGTCAAAATTTTCCCCATTTCAACTCCTAGACACTTTAAATTAAATCGAGGGCGTTTCCCGCATTCTTTCCAAATATGACTAACTAGTTGGTAGTGTACATCCCATGGCCTAGAGCACTGTTAGTCAGCTGGTTAAGTAAATAGAGTGAAGCAGACCAGCCAAAAGAGAAAAACCCGTATCGCCAAAACCTTCAATCCGCATTCATTCGATTCACATTCAACATGCAGTTTAGCGCCTGCCGCTCAAGTTCAAATGGAAATTAGCAGTTGGTGTTTGTTTTATAGCCGAATGCTTTCAAATTCCACCGAGAGTAAACCGAATCGAACGTGATACCAATTGCAAAACTCCAAAAGAGCCCTGTGCCCCTTTTTTTTAATCGTTTTGCGGATGCCGATCGATGAATGAATAATCTGCCAGGCGACCCGAGCCACTGGACCTGGCCAAAAATCAAAAATCAAAACCCATAACCAAACCCAAACAAGTCAGCCTGGCTGGTCGGTCCACGTGTCCGTCCGTCGGAGTGTCTGCGTCCATGCCGGAACATAAAAGCCGAAAAATGTATGACGACAACTCTTGCCGGTTTTTTTTTCTTCATTTTTTTTTTCGAACGCAGGTGGGCAGCGATCAGTTTGTGGGCTGCTGAATGTCTGTGGTTTTGCTTGATTTCTTGGGTGCGCTGCTTTAACGATCCACAAAATGAATCATATTCAATGGTCTTGGCTTGCAAGAAGTCTAGGAAATACCCTTTTTACCACGGTCTATATAAGGTTTTAATATTCACTTACTATTTTATTTCATCAAAAAATTGTATAAATATTTAAAGTTTCTTAATCTTTACTTTGATTCACATAATTTCGTCATCCCAAGAACTGATCTCATTCACTACGTTATAAGGGTATTTCTTTGCTTACCTTTCCGATCTCACTTTGTTGATGCAATATTATGTCACATTTGAAGAGCGATTTTTTGGATCAACAATGTTTTAAAGACCTACAAACGCTTTGTGCAATCACCGAAAGCAAATGAGAAACGAGAGATGGGTGTTCATGTTTTATTTATAATTTATAAAATCGCTTATCGCCAGCATTTCTCCGCATTTTTGTCGTTTGGCACACCGTACACAATTTTGCACAATATTATATTATTTGTTTTGTTTCATGTCTTTGTGGTTTCGTATCCGTATCTCCGATATCTTCATACGCAGCGTTATGTTTTTTGGTTTATCACACTGTGGGGACCGTTGTTTAAAAATTTAAATATTGTCTTTTGTAAAACTCGTTTAGAATTGAAAATTGCCTAAAACAAGCCGATCACCGATCGCTCAATGTCTCCCCGTCTCCGCATTATGGCAAGTTGTTCGACCTTGACAAGGTCGCATTCTTGGTGGTGCAGGCCACCCGTGGCACCGCTCACGAGCTGTTCGTTCGCACCACCGACGAGTAGCCGTAGAGCACCTCCACTCCGTCCGAGTTGAAAATTCGCTCCACCCGTGGAGCACGCGTTTGAATGGGACGCACTGTGGTTGTGGTGGTGGTGGTGGTGGTTGGAGCGCTGGTGGTGGAAGTGGTGCTAGTGGTACTAGTGGTACTACTAGTACTTGTTGATGTGGTGGTTGTGGTCTCCGGAGCACTTGTGGTGGTTTCTGGCTGAGCATTTAGCAATGCTTCCACTTTGGTGGTCAGTAAGACAGCTTCAGTGGTTGCCTCAGTGGTTGTGGTGGTGCTAGGAGCTGGAGTTGTGGTTTCCTCAGCCTCAGTGGTTGTGGTGGTGCTCGGAGCTGCCGTTGTGGTTTCCTCAGCCTGAGTGGTTGCAGTTGTGGAGGCGGTGGTGCTAGGAACTGGAGTTGTGGTCTCCTGAGCCTCTGTGGTGGTTTCGGGTGCAGAGGTGGATGAAACCAGTGGGCCTTCTGTGGGAAAAAGATTTATATTGTTAAGTAATCTTTGGAAAGATAATGATAATGCGTTTAGACATGCATTTACCAAGTTAATGGCCAGGTAAATTAAGCCTGTCTTATTATTTGTTTTCTTTCCATTCCTGTTCGAGTGTAAATTGAATGGTATTGTTTAACATTTTGGAAATTGTCTTGCATTGGGGTTCCAAAAAATTAAAGAAGCTAACAATGATTACTATTTGATTTGCGTAAACTTGATCATGTAAAAAGCTATACTTCAAAAATTATGATCATTGATTAAAGTATATTGAAAGTATACTTAATTATGGAAGATTTAAAGATTTGATATATTTAATTTGTCAATACCAAACAACCTAATATTTTAATCTATAATTTAATTTAATGCTGGCTTAAAGCATTGTATTCCTGTTTAATTAATTTATAAATTTTTACATAATAAATGAAGTATTATTTAGAACTCACCTGTAGATTCTTGTATCGCAGGTTCAGTGGTGGCAACTTCTTCAACTATTTTCGGCACCTCAGTATTTATTTCAGGCTGTGGTTCTTTCACCATGAAAGCTGCGTTGTTAACTGATTGGTATATTGGCACCACAGTGGTTTCAGCAGACCCTGCCTGATCGGATTCACTTCTGGCCAATGGATCCTCCTCCACCAAAGCGGCATCGGTGGTCATAATCATGGACAAATCGAAAGGCTCCTGCGGAGATGCATTCGTGGTGGTTTCCATTCGGTTCTCGGCCATGTCCAAATCGAAATCTCCCACTGGCACAGGTCTCCGCTCGAAAAAGTTCCTCAGGGTCTTCGCCTCCGGAGTTTCAGTGGTTTCTTCGGTCTCAGAAGAAGGAGTTGTTGTGTCCTCTTGTGGTTTAGTGGTGCTGAAGATTCTGGGAGCGAGGGTGGTTGTGATGAAACTCGGTGGCAGTGTGGTTTCTCCAAACTTGAAACTGCGCTTGGTGGTTGAGTTCTCTGGCTTTGGCTGCTCAGTGGTTGTTTCCCTTGGCTCCTCGTTATCCGATTCTAAATCCGTGTCAGATTCCGGCTTTTCGGGATTTTTCAACCGCTCCTCCTGCTCCCTTTCCATCTCCAGTTGCTGCACCACCGAATCTGGAAGTGGTTCCTCCGTGATGGCCATCGGACTTCCCTCCGTGAAAGCTTCGCCCTCGGGACTGGTGGTCAGTATCACATCCGAATCGACGTCCACCGTGACGGTTCCTTCTTCCACGGACATGTAGGTGGACTCCTCGGGTGCATCCTCAGTGGTTTCGATTTCCGGCGCAACGGTGGTGCGCTGTGGTGCAGCTCGCGCATTAACGGTTAACGCGATCAGCAACAGAATGGCAAAGGTTCGCAACATTTTCGGCGGACTTTTTTTTTTTTGGTATTCGCGGAATGCGAGGCGGTTCAGTGGCTCGGTGGCAATGAATCAATCGAGTGTGGTTTCGCCTCGCCGAAAGCTGCGTTCACTTGGCTCAGAAAAACTTGCTTACTCCTGTCTCCAAAAAGCTTTCTGGGTAACTCGCTCTCTCTCTCTATTTTTCTGCAGAGAAAAAAAGTATGTTTTAACGATCATTTAAAATAAGGAATTCAAGTAAAAGTTCAAAGGTTCAAAACCAAAATGTACTTAATGAATTCCTGGGGTGAAGCTAAAATAAAGAAACTCAAAAGCTTCAAATTACTGAATGAATGTTTCTGGTAAAATGCAAATGAGGAACTTCACTTAAGTTTAGAGGGTCAAAAGACAAATGTTACTGACAACTTAGCAACATAATTAATTATTTTTTTGCTTCTCGCGACATTCTCATATTTTGCATCACATTTTTAGATATTACACTTTAATTTCAAAACTATTTGATATTGCTAGAGTCTTCATTTAATTTAGGTAATGATGTATAACTTTAGAGCATTTGAAAATTTTGTTAAAATGTTTGACAGATTTCACATATTAATTTCTTTTAATTTTTAAATGGTATAACGATCTTAGCTGCCTTTTTTGTTTTCATTTAATTTACGCTCAACTTCATTAAACTTCGGATTGCAATTTTAATATTTATTTTTTATCAAGGTAAAAGTGATTGTTTTTTGCTGTGTCTCTGCACCTCAGACTATTTCTCTGGCTTTTAACTGGTTCACTCGGCGGGGCTGCTGACTGGCTTCCGCTCCACGATGTTGTGACTAGTTTTGTTTGCGGCGAGGAACTAAACCGTTTGCAGCTCCAACTCGGGCTTTTAAAGCCGTTTGAAAACTGTTCCCGGCTTGGGGTTTTGGGCTTGGGTTTCGGCCGGGTTTCTGGTGGCCCAACTGCGCGGCCAACTGCTCCTCGGGTTCGGCCTTTTTGATGGACCTGAAGTACAGGTGGGCCGGCGCGCACTTGGCCCAAAAACATCTCTTAAATGGCACTTCCCCGACTCCAGTTCAATTTCACTTTCAACGCACTCACCTGCACCTCCGATCACCTCTGATATTGATTTTGCTTTTCAGTTTGGCCCGGAGTCGCAAACCGGCTTTCTGGTATGGCAATTAGTTGGTTACAACAACTCGATGGCCTCTCATAATTCGCGGTTATTCAACGCTCTGCTCCGATACGCTCTCGTATCTTTTTATTGATATTTTACTAATTCGATCAGAACCAATTCGAGACATTACCATTGTCTTGGCCTGAAACAGTCTCTAATTGCCGCTTGAATAATTGCCGTAACTGAGTGGAAACACAATAAGTTTAGGAAGTTTTCAGGTAAATCGTGGTGTTTCTGATTTTCTAGAAATTAAATTGGTAAACTGAGACAGGTATTTCCCTTATGGTCGGGGGAAATTTTTCTGCACAGATCCCATTTCCCTCGAATTCCAAACAATAAAAATATGTTCTGTTTACATAATGAATAGCTGGTATTGACGACTTTTTCCTTAGTATTTATGATTAATAAGCACTGAATTCTTGTTGGGCTGTGTGCGCTTTTATTGAATATATTAAACTTCTCTTTTATAAGTCAGAGAGCTAAGTCAATAAACGTTGACAAACATAATATGTGAGATTATGAGAGCAACCGATTAGTTACGAAACTCATGTTTATAAGTGGTTCTACTAAACACAGTTCCAGTTTAAGTTCCAGTTTAATAATTTTATGCCAATAGCAAAATTAATCCCCTGATCTATTTCCGGTGTGCTTAAAAAAGTTTTTATGTCTTATAATATCACAAAAATTTAATATTAATTATTCCAATAAATCCGATAAATCAGAATTACTTAATTGAAATAGGCAAGCAATTAATTGACGTTAATGGATTCAATACAATGTTTTTAATTTGCAAACATATACTCGTATAATTTTTAACAATACATTGTATATATCAAACATTTCAACTTTAGCCTTTTTGTGTGCCAAGTGTTTGACATTTTCCATAAAAGCATACTAAGGAATGTCTGGGGATTTTGTCAAGTGGGTTTAAATGATTCGCATTGTGATACACTTGAATGTGAGTCAGCTTTCAGCGGAATTCCAGAGCAGCCATTATACTCAATGTTGTTTTTTTCTGGCCAATTTCATTTGAAATTTTAATGTACTTCCTCACTTTCCTCTTATCTTTCCGGTCATTTTCTACTAAACGCATAAATTCCCCCAAACAGTTTTGGCCTCGCAAATTGATTCTGCGGAGACAAATTGTGTAAGCCATCGCAAAGAGGAACTTTGATAATTAGTTCTTATCGAACCAGAAAAGCGACCGCAAAACTCTCGTTTGCGGCAAACTTGGGCAACAACATAAATATGCTTGACCATAAGGACAAGTTTTATGTCAACTCGACAGAAAATGTCTTCTGGACGTGGCCGAGAATCTTAACATCTTGCCACCACCGAGGGCGATAAAGGCACTAACAACTACAACTGTCAACTACCAAGGGCGATAACAATAAACTGGCCACTATTGAACTACAGTGGGGATTCCCTAAACCGAATGTTTTGTAACTTCAAAGCGAACAAGAAAAAAGTTATCATTGTTTATATATAAAGTAATCTTATGTCTAAAAAATATTTACTCTAAATTCTTAACCATAATATTTAAAGTCAATTATAAATATTCACTTCATTAAGCAGGTGGTAAAAGTTTCTTTTAAATTAATAGCAAAATTGTTACATTTATCATTTCAAATATATATTTTAGTTAGTCTACCACCTCTTATTTAATTGTATTTAATTTTGCATTTAACCTAAAGGTAATAGTGTACCCGCTTTCTATTGTAGCTTGACTGTAATTTTAGGTTTCTGCCTAGTTCAGCGAAAGTGAGTTGAGAAAGCATAGAAATGCCGCTTACTTTGGTGGGAGGCGTTTCCAGGCCAATATGATTTATCTAATGATTGCTTTTTGGCGCGACTTTAAGTCCTGTCAGTCACCGGACTTCGCACACAAACACCTTTAGCCAACTTCAATAACATCATTAGGGCCAGAACGAAGGAGGCTGCTGGCACTCACTTAAATTGAGCTCCTGCCTTCACTGCCTTCAAAATACCGGACACAAAGGCCACTTGGCAGGCGGCCAACGTAAATATGACTTATAAATTGCTCTCGAAAAAAGACTTTTTGGCAAGCAAATTAGTTTGTTAAAATGATGATGAAGCTGCCTGGCTGGCTGGCTGGTTGACTGGTGCTCAGTACTTTGCTGAAATATTTATGCAAAATTTTACCCAACTGAGGGGAAGGTGATGAATCGAGAATTCAATTTTCCTCGGCGGCGGCTACTTTGAGTGTAAACAAAGTATTAATCATACGCCCCGTGGGCTCAGTGAGGCCGTCGATGAAGAAGTCATTAGCAGGCAGCCGGGAAATGACTTGAAATCATTATTATTATTAAAGTGCCGGCCGACTAAAATCAAAGTTGGGAGCGAGCAGAAATGTAATTTAAATACCAAGTGAAATAAGCTTTCAGCTTGATCAAAAAGGGAGCTTCGCTCCAGTTTTAATGCTTCGGAAAATCATTAGGAAAACATTTCGCATGCAAATTCGGTTCCGTACAAATGTAATTTTCCCCATCGACTTTGAAGTGTCGCCAGTGGCAATTTGTCCGGAGGGCGTGGCACTTTATTGCTTAACGATTACGACCGCTTCATTGGCTCCTGACGCTAATGTTTATTTCTAAATTACTTCGAATGGAAATGCAAATTCCCTCTGATGCCGACGTAAAATCAATCAATTTGGGATGGAGCTGTCATTATGTGCATGGAAAATGCCAGCCTTAATTTGTAACTCATTACTTTGAAATCGATAAGCTCTCGAAAACTTTATTCACCGGCATAAAAGTCACTTGTGGGGCTCCGATTCCCTTTGAGTGGCTCTTCATTCCAAGGAACTTGAAACTCTGCAACTCTGTTTATTTTTTTAATTCCAATTGCGGACGAGGGCTCATTTCGCCATTGTTCGCAAAGCGAAACAATAGAGACGGGGAAATCGAAACGAGAGTTGTAATTGTATTACAAAAAAAATTATATGAATTGATGAATAAAAAGCCTGCGGATTTTTTTGTCTTGCTGTAATTTTAATTATCGAATCAGAACGAAATATTATCTCAGATTAAGCTTTACTTAATTTTTGTTTCCTTTGTGGACAGTGAAAAAAGAACTGTGTGTGTTTTTTTTTGTATAAACCCTTTATATGCAGTTATAATTTCCACCTTTGTGGCACTGTTCTTGAAATTAATTTACGTATTAACGTTGTTTAAAGGAATTTCACAAAACCTATGCTGCATTATTTTAGCAAAAAAAGTATTCCATAGGTTTTGAAAAGTTATTATAATCGGATGACAACATGCAATGATTTGTGTTCAAAATCTCTTAGTAGGTGATATCAGTTTAACCTTTTGTATATTAATATTTGAATAATTGGCTCTAACCATAACTCCTTAATATTAACTCAAACTAAGCTTTTCTGGCACTGAAAGGTCTTTGTTCTCATTCAAAGGAGCAAGGCTCATCCCAAATACAAGTTTAGTTAATAAATTATGATGGTTCGAGTATGAGTTTGTGGTTGTTTTGATGTGCCCATGTGTGTGTGTGCATCCATGACGCTAATGACAGCCCCTGAAGGATCCCTACAATATCATTATAAGCCAAAACTAAATCAACAACAACCGAGGCAAAAGCCAACTCACCAAGGCTTAGTGGAAAGTGAGGGATCTGCAGGGAAGGGAAGGGGAAGTGGATAGACAAAAGCTAGTTGCACAGGCAAGAGCCACTAATTGACTTTAATTATTTTGTTGTACTTAATGTCTTGTTTACACGAGGAAAAGAAACTGGGAGTTGCTGGAGAGAAAGGCGGTGGGGAACGACGGGGGAATGTGGGCGGGGCACTAACAAATCACTTGTTCATACTATAAAGGCAAATGAAGAGCAAAAACAGTGTGCAACCAGGAGCAGTGGCAAAAAATGACAGCTGATGGATAGAAAAGAGCCAGATAACTAGAAAGAATGAACAGTGCAAAAAAAATAAGTTATATGTTTTTATATTCAGTTTCCTAAAAATCATCGAATTCGTTTAAAGAAATATTTCTTGCATTTGAAGTTGTTTATTTAAGATGTCATAAAGCTGAATAACATAGTTGTGAATTAGGTTTTATATTATTTAGGTTTGTATTTCCTAAATTGTGTAAGAATTGTTGACCCTGTTATGACACCTAATTTAAAATTATTTGTATATTATAAAACATCAAAATGATTGATATTATTTTTTAAGTAAGTAAGGATTGTTTTCAGTGTACAATGGCAGAAGGAAAGCCTGTCAAAGTTAGTTAAAAGCGATGTGTAAACATGTGGGATCCCATAGCTTAGCGGGAAAAGAGCACCTCCATCTGTCTGTCTCTTTTCATCCGCTCGTTTTGTCTCTTTCTCTTGGCGCATCCTCCTGCTAAACTTTAATTAAAGTTGAATTTGTGTCAGTTGTGTGCTTGCAACTGCGGTTGCATGTTTGTTTCGCCTGCTGCGAGGGGATTTTTTCTTCGGTATCAACAGCAAGGATAAACAAACGAGGATTCTCTGCCTTAAAAATGAAGTCTTATTGGAGCATACGCAGCCAGTGACTCTGATTAAAAAAACGCTTATATTTCTGCATGCAACATACTCAGTTTCAATTAACATATTACGTTTAAATTTAGCGGGCACACATTAGACTGCCACAAATATAGTTTTTTTAATTAACCATGCAGAACAATATAGTTCTCCCTTGTTTTTATTTTCTAATCTTTAGGTATTATAAATATTTTTTGATTTTAACAGTCACCCGCAAAAATAAACGGCTTCCATTTGTTCGCTCAATTTTGAATAAGCAGCGGAAGCAATTCAACTTAAGTTGACAAGAAGGCAACCGCACTGCCAGGAACAGCATTTTTCATTTCCCTTCGAAAGGCAGTCAGCCCAGAGGTAATATCACCTGAAAATTGTGACTTTTATGCGGGTCCCAATCCGCCGTCTTAATCCCCTCCGCCGCCGAGTGTCACCCACTGTGTTTGTGTTTGGTTGTTTATTCAGCAACAGTGCGCGCGGTAAGTTTGCCTACAGTCACAGCCTGCGTTTTCTTCTCGCCATTCGCTTCTTGTGTCGCCGGCTGCAGGTTGCAGGTTGCCAGTTGCCAGTTTCCAGTCGCCAAACGACGACAAATGAAGGCAATTCATTGGGCATGCGGCTTTAAGTTGTCGCTGCAAGTGCACAACTGCGGTTCGCAGGCTCTTCGGCTTTCCCACTCCGATTCCTGGTCTTGAGCCTACACTAAAAAATATTTAATATATATACATTAACTAAATATATACTACAAATAATCTAGTATGTATCGGCTTTTTAATGTCTTTGTGTATATGAGCAAGTTATGATAAGTGTAAGCAGTTAATAACTTATGTAGGACCTTTTAAAAGCCCGAAAGAAATGTTTAATTAAATATGGGGAAATGAAAAATATACACAAATATTTATTCAATTAAAGAAAGAAAGTAATAGACAAGAAATCACATTTTTATTAGACATAACAGATTGCCTTGGTCTAGCTTATTATATTTAATTAAATCATATTATTATTAATTTCTTATGAATCAATATAGCTTTTTTTAAGTCAGTAATAAAATAGCTTTCCAAATCGAATTTTTTATTTTTGGCAGATTTACTTACAAATATTTTTAAAGTGTAGTTCGGGTGGGTGTCCTGTGGTTTCGATTCCCGCTGCGGCCAGGATAAAGTTTTGCGCCCTGGCTGTCGAAATGAGTTGCGTTTTAAGTCGCAATTAAGCGTCGGTGCTGTTTGCTGCCTGTCTGCCGCTCTTCTTGAAATATTTCTCTACCTTCGGCCAATTCAACTCACAGAGGTAGAATTAAGCCACAGTGACTTTTCCACCGGAAGATCCATTTGCTTGGCTTTATAAACAGTTCATACTTCAGTCTGTTATTACAAAATTTAAAACTCTTTTTTTATTTTCTTGGTTTAAGACCGTGTTGATATTCATTTATATTTTAAGTGTGCAACTGGGCGCAGATAGAAATTTTAACCAAAATATCGTTGCATACCTTTGCATGCCACATAATCAAGTAAAATGTAATCTTCATGTAATTAATCGTACATTTATTTACTGCTAAATAAATAAATAAATTATTGCAAATTTGTTTATTTGTTCTAGGTGTTTCCCTATTCTATAGAAATTATTATTTCAAACCTGAGTTTTTGTCTTCAATTAACTTCGATTTAAAATTCTGCTCCCCTGCTCAAAAAATCATTTAAAGACGAGAATTACAATTCAAGAACCCACAGATAGTAGAACACCAGATTTTCTTAAAATATCTCTTTTATTAAACATAAACGTACATATAAAACTACTCATAAATTTGTACACATAAATTAAAGTATTAGGAGTAGCACAGAAGACGGATCTAACGATTCTGGTTGAAGAGGTGGCCGCATCGGAATTTGGGCTTTCTGTGGGATGATGATTGTTGGATGCATGGGAATGGATTGCGCCTGAGTGATTGCACCTGGGGTCCTTCGGCCGAAGGACCTGGCGATGCTGCGATCGGTAAATTGTTAAAAATGTCATCACAGTCATATGAAATTGGAACGAAAAGAGCTTGGCCATTCGGCGTCAAAGTCACGCGGGAATTTCCGTTGTGCTGGTGGCGGTGGTGGTCAGGATCTCGTCCTCAACTGCATCCTCGTCCGCCGTTATCGTCGAAGGCGTGGCTGTGGTTGGTGGGAAGGAAGGTGTGGCAGGAGCCAAGGTTGTCGCCCTGGCAATCAACTCCATTCCCAATCCGTGCGGCAGGTGCACATTGGCCGGCAAACTCTCCATCATCTGCTGCTGCATTTGTTGCCGGATTTGCTGGCGCTGCAGCTGCATGGCCAGGAAATTGGCCAAATTGGCCGTCAGCTTGGCCCTGTGGTTCTCCACCCTCCGCACATTGCGAACCAGTCGGTTGTACACCAAGGGCTTCACATCGATGGCCCACAGGAAGTCCAGGTGGTTGAATCGCTCCATCGGCACCAAGTACTTGTCGATCACATTGGGCAGCTCCCTCGCCAAGCGATCCACGCCGGTGGTGGAGACCAGCAAATCGTTCACCGAGTAGTAGAGCGCCACCGGAACCTTCACCCGGGACAGGTCGTAGTCCGGCGGAGTCATCCGGTTGTACTCCAGCTGGTTGCGCAAGTAGCCGCGGTCGAACTTCCGGAAGTGGCCCGACTTCATCAGCTGGCCAAAGTGCTCCAGCTGCTTAATCGATGCTCCCGACGGCGTGTGGCTCAGCATCACGGGAAGCATTGTCTGAAAGGGGAGAAAAGCTAATTTTAATATACATTTTGTATTGGTAAATACACGAGATAAGTGGTGTGTAAAAAAGCGTTTACGGTGGAGAAAGGACAAGTATTAAAAACTTAATAATTGTGATGAACTAAGAGTGTGGTGGTGTAAAAAAAATAAAATAAAAGTGACTTTCACTGCAGCTGAATGGTTATTTTAACTAGAGCTAAGATAAAGATAAAGCCTGCTAAAAAAACAATTCAGGTTAGATAAAATTCAAATCCAATAAAGATTGTTTTAACAAAAGTTGTTAAAATTAAATTATTAAAATAATATAATATTATAATATAAATAATATTTAATATATTTTTGTTTTATTTTGTAAGTTTTTGAAGTGCAACAGTTGTCATTTGTTGGACTTTTTTATTCAAAAGAAATGTTTTACAAATTGCAAAATGTCGAACTTTCTTTAATAGCTCACTAATTTGATGTTTAAATAAATATATTATGGAGCATGTAAAATAAACGGAGCTACATATTATATTTTGAATTTCAGTAAGTTTCTGAATGGGAGTTTTTTTCCGATTTCAATTGTATTTCCCAGTGTTTTTCCCAGTGCATGGCTGCGCATTCTGCATTCTACACCTGTTCTTGAACAATGTAACAACGCTCGTCCCATGTTTCGAGTGCCCAGCATGGCATTAGCGTCCTATATATTCTCGGTAAGGGAAGGGGTGGAAGACTTATCCCAGGGTCCTGTAGTTGGGTTCATGTTGGGTCAGGGAATCGCGCCTAATTTGCATGCATTGTCGCCCGTTGTCGGTGCTTTGGCATCCCGGCCGTTGCCAGTTAATTATGCCAATTTCAACAACGCCGACGAGGACAACACGAAGATTCCGCCCACTCTCCGTGGCCCGCTGACATAATAGATAATGACACCCTTTCAATGCCAGATACCAGGTCAGGTCATCCACATTCCCCCCTCGTCCCCAAATCAACCAACACTTGCATGTTGTTCAAGTAATTTAAGCCGACCGCACTTTGTGGGCCATAATTTTGAATCTGCGGGTGTTTAGCTTGCGGTCGATTATCGGGCGAAGTTTTGCCAGGGCGTTGAGCATATTTAATGCAAACATCGTGGCCGCTGGGGGATTAAGATAGGGTTTAATTGCGTTTAACCCATCGATAATTGCAGTCCCCGAATTATTGCATGCGACTATTTGAATTGGAACAGAGATTGGGGTAAATAAAGTTTCCAAAAGGAAGGTTGAATTTGGTCTGTACAGCTTGTGAACTGGTAAACGGTCGTCGGCAATTAAGGACATTCCGCTTCGACAGGTTGAGGCATAAACTGAAATGCAAACTATCCAGACCGACAATCGAATTGAGGCGGGTTAATTAAGTGCCAACTTAATGAAGACAATCGGCGGGACACACAAATCGATGACTCTCAGCCTGCCAGGCAAGTCACGCGAAATCGTGGCCAAAACACACCCGAAATGCAATTCCATTCACGGTTCTCAACGCTAGTCCTAATACACAAGGCAAAACAGGATATGTTTTACTGAATTTCCAAAAAAAAGATCAATATACCTACTCTTTTTGAAGAAAACAAACTATAGAAACTAAAACTATATTATACAGAATTGTAATCCAATTTTGTCTGGACTACAAATGAATGACAATCTTACTGTTTTAAATATTTTATATTTGAACTCAATTAAACTTAAGTTAACTCCTAACATAGGCACTCCATGGCAAAGGTTTTCTTACTGAATTATTCTAATCGTATCTAAATTTCTTATGTGACTTCTTACCTCAACTTCTTAAAGTGAAACCTCTAAATGGTTTATAAAAGTATTAAAATTCAAATAAAATTCAATCCCCTTTTCGGCGCAGTGCCTGGCTTACTTTGTTCAGCTGTTCGGAGTTGTAGCCGGCGACCAAAAACAGGATATTCGAGCAGACGTCCTGCGTCATGGCGTTGTCGTGGCACACAACCTGGCTGTGGTCGACTAGGAATTTGGTGTTGGGCATGAATTCCGTGATGCGCAGCATTCGTGTGGCGGCCTGCAACAAAAATGGAATCAGAGGGGCATGCAACAAACACGGAATGCAAAATGGAAAATGAGCCAGCCGCAGCAGCAGCTCCTGCAAATCCAAACCCAATCTGCCATCTGCCACCCACCGTGAGGAAGTCGAGGAAGAGCACCAGAGTGCGGAACAGGGGACTCTTCATGTCGTGGATATAGGCAATTGGGGCCAGGGCGTGCATCGAGGTTATTTTCTGAGTGTACGAGGGCTGTTCGGAGCACAAAACCCAAAATATGGCCGTTCCCTGGGAGTGGCCGATGTAGTGCACCTGCTCGTATCCCGTTTTACTGAGGATATAGTCGATGTTGGCCGGCAGATCGTATTTGCCCATCTCGTGGAAGGTGAAGTCCCAGAACTCCTGGTAGTCGCTGTTTAAGCTGGTGTGGTTCTTGGAGTAGCGATTGCCACGGGAGTTGCCCATCCAAACATCGTAGCCCAGATCGGATAGCATGTAGCCTGGTTAAAAAATAAATTGTTATTAATACATAATTTTTATCAAACATTTCTTTGGCAAATATTATAAAAGTTTATACAAATCAACGAAAGTACTGCTGGACATTATAAGCTTCTTGTCTGAAAATATTAATAGCCTTCAAGGTTATATTATTAAAATAGAAAACATTAATTATTAAAACTTAATTCAATTCTGCAATTCTACAACTCAAATGCTTTTTTGTGAATTTAAATATTTTTTTTTGAATTTAAAAGGAAAATGCATTTTAAGCCAATTACAAAATATTAATCTAAAACTCAATTGTTATTTATTTTAAAAATTAAAAATAGTGTAGATTGCTCAGAAATCGTAGTATTTAATGTATTTTCAAAAAATTAAATTATTTGTTTATTAGATCTTAAGTTGTATTAGAACTTACCCAATCCGGATTTTGGACCCATGAGCACCCAGGTGGCCGAGGTATCCAGGATGCCGTGCATCAGCAGAACGGGCTGAGCTCCCTTCTTGGGTATCCTGTGCATTTCCAGGATATACCCGTCCTTCGTGACCACCGTGTGCGTCTCCGACGGATATCCATATTTGCGTATTAATTTCGGCTGTACGAACGCCGACAAAAAACCGGAAAAAAATTTGACAGAGGAAGAGAAAGGTGTTAGAAGTGCAAATCATGGCAGTGTGAAATTGAGTTGCCCTGGTCCATGTTTTTTCCACCTGCCCGCCGCTCTCTGCTTCATCCCCTTTGCATTTTAATTTGCATAGTTCAAATGGAGGAGCAGGTGCGGAGGAGTCGGTGCCATCGGCAGAGTCATCATCCCCAAGAAGGGATTCGTCTGGCCCTAACCACAGTCGTTTTGCAATAATGAATTTTAATTTGCGGCATCAACAAGTTAATAAAGTTACCAGATCCAAGCTGCTGTGGCTGAGTTAATTGCTTGTGGCTGGATTGGCACTGAATAACTGGGTTATGCCATCTCAAAAAAGGCTAAAAGACTTGGCGAAGTAATTTACAGCCAAGCATTCCTGCTCGCATTTTGCCAACTATAAACTGTATTGGCTGGCAAGTACGATTCCTTATAGAATTTCTTTATTGACACCGCTGAAAACAAAAGTATCGAGCAAACTATAAAAAGTGTTCATCATTGGAGACGCTTTATTGGTGACGCAAAGTCCACGCGGCCCTCTGAATAAGTACAACGCAAATAGTTGAACCCAGTCACGTATCACGCATACGCACCGTATGACAGCATACTTTTCTTCCTGCTGCCTAGCGAATTTATAGGTTTTTCAAACATTCGTGATACGTTTGATAAGTCTGGGCGATTATGTAAGCCGCTCGGGTAGTGGGTGGCCGAAAAAAAGAAAAACTTATAACACAATTGTTGAAATTAAGTTATAAACACGCGATTACCCAAATTTCCAGGCAAACAAACAAGCCGGGCGAAAAAAAAACGAGTGAGAGAAGTACAGAAAGAGACTCTCTGCGAAGCCGACTGGCATTTTAATTAACCTTGGCAGCGAATCGCCCCTGCTGTTGTTGGCCAGAAAATAGTATAAACACTGCAATTGGCCAACTGACTTGCCGGCTGGTTGGACAACACGAGGAAGTGGTACGCAAAGTAAGTCAGCGAAATCTTTTTTCCTGCTCCGTTTCTGCATGTTTTGTTTTCGTCCGATTTTGCCAAATACTCGAGCATAAATTTGCCTTATATTTATTTAGTTTTTTGCGGTTTTTTTGGTTTTTTTTTTGTTAATTTCCTTGCCTTTTGGTCTTACGTAACTTCTTTGTTTCGGTTTGCCGAAAAAGAATGAATGAACGTGCGAACGAGGCGCAAAGAAGCCGCAGAAAGCGGCTTGGCCAAGCCCCGAAAACAATTGCAACAGCTGCTGGCGATGCTACCCGGTGAAGTTTTTGTTTTTCTCGGCTTGACACACATTTTGCGAAACAGCCGGCCAATATTTGCGAAGAGCCGAAAAGGCGTTGAAAAGCCTCTCAAAATGCAACAAAGTGTGGCCGGCAGCTGGATTTTCCCGCCCATCGGAGTTGGCCAATCTCGAAAAGTTTTGAAATTCACACGACAAACGATCAGTAATAAAAGTTTTAGCAATATTTATCTTTGACAAGGAAAAATAGCATTAGGTAGAGACGCAATATGCTGCAACTTATAAAATAAATTGTACCTACAAATACTAGTGATTAAAATAATCACTGGCAAAATATTATTATTTGTCGAATATAAAATGCCTACCGAAATTCGCTTTTTTTATCAGCAATAACTCATTGTTAAAGGTTTTTGTTATAAAACAAACATTCAATCATTCATATTTTATAATTTTATTCACTCGCAACCAATAAACTGGGAACCGGCTATGAACAAAAAGACAAAAGTACAATGGGATTGCACAAACATGTAAATGTTTGATTTAACGTCAATTTAAAAGGCACAGTAAATAAATCAAACAAATGGGCAGGGCAAACAATGTGCGCAAATGTTGGAAAAACTATAATTAAATAAATAAGAGTTCGAGGGAGACCCACTGAAAAAGTAAATGTTGAACTACACTAATTTCGACCTGGGCCAATACAACAAGATGAATTGTGGCTATTTCTCTTTTACCTTTTCGGTTTCTTTTTCCATATTTTTACTGTTTTGCTAACTGAACATTTCGTTTGTTCGGTTTAAAGCCGCAAAAAATTCATTAGCACCTACAAAATTGTCTTGAGTTGCGATTAACATAATGCTCATCATGACCCACTAATTTTTGTGTTTGCCTGCCTCCGGTTTGTGTCCATGCTAATTGGCAATATTGTGTGAGCTTGATAGTACAGTGAAAACTGGATTACAGTAATCAAAGAATATATTTTTATATTTATTTATATATATGTTTTATATTTTTTTGTATTTAAAATGCTAAAGCTTTAAAATCGATTTTCTTGTTTTAACTATATTTATATTTTCAGCACTCAATTTTTATATCTGATTATCATTAGGCTATATTTACTGTACATTTGGTATTGCATGGGCCTTTGGGTGTGCATGAGCTTCCATATTTTCGTCTGCTTTGTATTTTTCCTCGACAAACTCAATGCAAATTTATAGTGTCAACGTTTGGGGGACTCTTTTTGGGGGCTTTGTGGCGTGCCTTTGATTAATTTGCATGAAACACTTTTGCCGCTCGAACTTGAGCTGCGATTGTCAGTGGATTTGCTTGGGAGAAGACCCGACCAGTAAAACAAGCCACTCGTGGATGGATGGACGGATGGATGGTCGGATGGATGGGCTCCGTGTCTATATTCCACTCTGCGGCCATCGCTCATTTGTAACTGACCTTGATATTGACTTCGGCTTTTATCACAGTCATTATAATGACCGCCGTTCGAAGCGTCTCGATGTCAACGCCGCCGACCCCAACCAGTTTTTCCTCCTCTCGTTTGGCTTCAGGTCTTCGGCTGCATTTTCTGTGCCGCCTTGCCGACTTTATTCCGCCGACTGACATCGTTTTAATGACATCGAAATCTTAGAGGTTAATCACATTTGAACTCTGCTCTCGCGATGACTGATAAAGTGGAGCATCGTCTTCAAAATTATGCAAATTACTTTGATCGATTAGGGCTGTTAGAATAGCATTAAACGGTAATGAAAAGAAACAAAGAGTTCACAATCGATTGATGTCGATTTAATGATTAATGTTATATTAAACGGTTCTTAATTTATTAAATGTCATATTTGATATATTTATATAAGTCATTATTTTATTTTAATTAATCTTATTTTAAAAGAAAAAAAGAAAAACTTTGGGTTGCTTACAAACCAAAAATTAGTCATCAATGGTTTAGTTATTGATGATTTGGAAATCTATTTATTTTAAATCATCATCTAAGACATTCCAGTCTTAGTACACATTTTAATTTTAGTTATTTCGTTAAACATTTTAAATATTTATTTATGTATTTTCTAACCTATTAAAGGGAATTGCTCTATTTGGTGGGAAAGAAAACATTTAGAGTGCTTCAAGTAATTTAAGTGGCTTTTAACTTTTCGTCTGTGCAATTTGTTTTGTAAGTCATTGCAACACCTAGTCGTAATCAGTCCAAACGACATCGATGTGCCAATCCTTGGCATGTTGGGCCCAAAACAAAAGACAATGCGGAAATCTTTAAATTCAAATTAAAGCAAAAACGAGACAATTTTATGCAAAACAAAGCGAAAAATATCCAGAGCCGAGCCAAATGCCGAAACTATTTCCTTATTATTGGGAGGCAAAGCCTTGGGCTTTCTTCGTTGACATTTCGGTGGAGTGGTGGGGAGGTGGCGAAGAGGGGGTGGGAGGGGGTAGTGGGTGGTGGGCGGAAGGCGGGCAGACTGCTAACCCATATCTCAAAGTCAGTCAAGCGCTGCGGACGTGGACAGGTTAGCCTAATTGCCCGTTGATGATTGTGTAGCGTTGACAATTTCAATTTGTTACTGTCTGCGCAGAAAGGTGTCCCCCGAAGAGATGTATATATAAAACTGTGTATATATGTATATCTGGCGATCTTCCAACCCCCGATTATGCAATTTGGCAACGTGCAGAAAGACGAACTTAGTTACATTGCAGACACGCATTCGAAAGCCCAGCCATGACTTTGCATAAGATCCACTTGAAAAGTGCGGCGGCACTTGGGTTGACAATATGCTATATATACTCACTCGTATATATATATGGCACATGTCTCCCTTTATATTAGTTTCTGGGTCTGCGCAACAACAGCTCGAATCACGTAAATCGCATAAAAAAAAAGTTACGTTATCTTGGGCAAATGCACACTTGAACACTTGTTAATAACTCTTTTCCTTCGAGTTCGCTTTGGTTTATTGGCTCTGTTCATTTTCGCCTGTCTGTTTGTTGACCCCACCCTAAAACCGATTGGGTAATCTTCAGTTTGGTGTGATCTCTGATATTTGGCTGACAAAATCTGGTGTTTCTCGGACATGTTGCCATATGAAATGCAAATTTCCTGGCCTTGAGTTTGTGGCTCGTATTTGGAAGCCCACGGAAAACCTGCGGCAAACCACAACAATTATGTGAACGCCCAATGAAAATGCTGATCTAATTGCTGGGCACGTGAGCGATGTAAATGAGCTCAAGGTCAGTTCGCACTATCAATTCTTAAAAAACCGAAAACCAAAAACCGAACTTATTTAACGAGCTTTGATTTCTGTGACTGCCATAAAATGCTCGCTTCGTATTGAACGGAAGGCCAAGCCGGCTTTTGTTTTGTTGTAAGTGGACTTGAAAATTATAAACAAATAAAAGGCAAACCTGCTTTGATTTCACCAATGTGTGGAATCGTAATTCCCCTATGCAGTTTTAACATGGTTACAAATATTCTGCCACTTACTTTAGTGTTACTTCACACTTCGGCACTGCAGACTCGTAAACCTTTTAATTAGCCTCGACTCTAGAAATAAATCCATCTGTTACGTACCCGCCGTTGAGTTAACATGATTAACGCCATAAAAAGGCTACGAAATCCACACAAGTTACGGCGGCTCCCCCTTTCTCTCGGAAAAAGGGGAAAAACAAAGGGAAGTCGGTGGAAAGTGCACTGGCAACTGCACTTGATCACGGCAGGTGACCATTACCAAGTGCCACCAGACGGCTTAAATGAAATTGGTAGTAGTTCTCAGAGTCAACGAACCCCGAGAACGAAAACTTTCTTTCGGCGGCGGGGAGTGATAAGTGTAAATTTATATGACACACAAAAATGTTCGAGCAAAGTAAATACCAGAATAGAACGAAATAACGCCCGAAAGAAAAGCTAAGGAAACAAAACAAATATCGCCGTGGAAAACCAATGTCAATGCGAGGGGGGAATTCAGGCGTGGAGTATTGACCGACTTTACCTAGATAAGTTGGTATATCGAAACGGCTTTCATAAAAAAAGAGAACTGAAGGTATAGGTCTTAAAGTCAACAAAGGGCATTCGTATTTACGGTTTACCTGCCGAGTAATAATTTACTTGTTTTGATTACACTTTTTACAAACAAACTGCTAAGAAATACAGATTTTGGCCCTTGGAAGTTAAATTCATCACCTTCAGTATCTACATTTATAACCCATTTTGTTAATGATATCAATAAATTATCAGGATTTTCGAACAATTACTTATGTTTTTTTAAAATGCCTAATGTGTAATGGCAATAATGGCAGTAAAATAATAATCGATGGCACAAGCAATTTTAATTTATCATTTACTTGAATGCAAAGCTTGATTTCCTCAGCAGAAATACTTTACATTTCGTGTTACTTCACAATATTGTAATGAAGACTGGTAAACCTTTTAATTAGTTTCGACTCTAGAAATAAATCCATCTGTTTATTAATTGCAAAACTGAACTCAAGACAAGTATTACTTTCGTTTTTCGTAAGTAAACAGTATAAATAATTACACACTGCACTTTGCCATAGTAAGAAACAAAAGTTTTAATTTAGGTCTTTAGATTAAGGTAATCAAATATTCAGAAAGCCACAATTAAATGCTCACTCGAGGTGCAAATTAAAAAAGGTTAGTAAACTTTTGTCGACAAAAACGATCAAAATTAAACTGAACTCTAACACGATTCGGTTCAATGTTTAAATGACTCTTCCCACAATCTGAGATGTTTTAATTATATAGATTTCTTAATGCTTTACTATAGGGAAGGTTTTTCACCTTTAATAAAATCTAAGAATATTATAGATTCTTCTTTTTCGACGAGACTCACCGTGATGAGGGAGGCATCCTCGAGGACATCCGACTTGAGGTTCCTTCCGCCGCCGGCGAGGTTTGCGTTGCTGGAGAGCAGCACCGAATTCAAGAGGTTCTTGAAGCTCAGCGAGGTGTAGCTGAAGGGGGAGAGGAGGGTGAAGGCGCCGGCCCGCCCACAGACCTCCAAGGCCACGAGGCAGTGCAGCAGCAGGGTCAGCAGCAGGCGACCCTTGACCTCGACGGTGGGCCGCATCGGAAGGCCAAACAACCGGAGCACTCACACGAAAAGACAGCCAACCGGGCGACACTCACTGCGCACTCACGGCGACACTCACTCCAGACACTCACTCTGGCGGCCAGACACTCACTCAGTCACTCGCCGACTGACTCACGCTCAGTCGGACACACAAAATGGGGCAAATTGGCAAATGCAACAGTTGCTTGCACTTAAGCGTAACGGTTACGTCGCCACTATCTTTTTTTTTTTATTTCTCCCGCTTTCGTCACACTCGTCAGTTACGTGTGGCGCCTCGGCACTCCGAGTGTCTCTCTGGTGTCCTTTTGAGTCAACTTGGTGGTGGAAACTACGAGCAGTTCCCACGGAAGCACGGCGATCGGCACGGGATTCCGGGTAACTCGATCTTCGGATCTTCGCGGGTGGAAACAAGAGCTGTGATGGCAACCGTCTGGCTTGGGATTCGTCGCTCGACTGGCAGATTGGTAGTGAGTTTTCAGCTGAGCTAGGCTCGATTTGCAGCCACGATCTGCGGGCCAACTTGTTCGAGCCGGCAGTTGTGGATCGCGTGCTTGTGGAAGGTTAGATATAATCAGCTCAAGTGCGGATTCAAAGCGGGCTAAAGCTGCTCTCGATTTGTTTTATTTTTTGCGCTTAAGGCCTAAGTGTAATTTATATGACACTCGTGTTGTGTTTGTATTTAAGGTGCACTGTAGATATTAAAAAAAATTTAGAAATATAGTTTACATATAAGAAACTTTTTTTCTCAAAAAAAAAAAAAATTGGCTCTGGCTTGAAAATAGTTGTTTGTTTTATGTTTTATCCCGAGCAATTTATCTGAAATTTTTGTATTGTAATAAATATGTACAAGTTGTCTTATAATTGTTTAAATAAAACCCCTTAAATGTTCATAAACAGTAAAGGTGTTCTTAATATTTTCAAAAATTAAAGTAACGTTAAATATATTGGGCAAAAAAACATACAAATAAAATATTTGTTAAAATTTTTTTAAAGTAATCTAATTTATTATCATTAATCACATTTTTTATAACGTAAATTTAAATGTAATAATTTTTTTAGTTGAATATTTTGAGGTACCTAAGATGATTTCCATTTTGAACAGTTTTTTTCCAGTGTCGACCTAACCGACCTAGCTCAACTTCCCCAGATTAGTCAGCTGATCGGTTGGACTTGTTCGACGCCCCCAATGCAACACAGCCACTCGAAGTTTGGCGCGTGCCGATCAAGTTTTTTGCCTAAGTCTTTCGTTTCGTTTCGATTCGCTTTCCTGCGGCGGCAAAAGTTTGTCGGTTGGACGTGGTTTGTCTCTGGGTTCGATCCGTTTGGCCGTCTGCCCGTTAGGCGTTGGACTGTTTGGCACGTCCCGAGCTTCTCACTGACTCGGTTGCGTGTGTGGCTGCCGCCAAGGTAATTGCAATTGAAGCCCCCATCCCAAGAGCCGCACGGCTGTCGAAATATTTGGCCTGGCATCGGGTTACGTCTGCATTTGGCCAAATTAAAATGCAGGCTGAATTACACACGATTTTTCTTTGTGCCGCGCCTGGCTGAAGGCGGCACTACGGGAGCAGACATACTGTGGTATATATCATCGGGACCATATCATTGCGCTATTTGTTGTGATTGCCCAGCATTTGTTTTGTTTATACTTTGCCGTCTCGTTGGGGATCATTCCCGCGTTGCCGTTGTCACTGGGCCTTGTCTTTGGTTTCAACTTGAGTTTCAGCTTCGGGTTTTTGGTTTCTGTTCCCACCAGATTTTGCAACGATCTCTTCCCGTTTATCTCGGATTTCTTGCCGCACCGGTCGGCCTTGGCCAACCAATTTGTCGGGCCTTCAATGACAACTGCAAAAGCCCGGGCATTAATCATAAATTCAATAACCATTTTTACATGCATTCTTACCACATCCCAGCAGCCATCAAAAGCTGGTAAAATAAAAGTGCAAAAAGTCAGGGAAGCTTTGCTATATGAAATGCCCTCGAAGAATATGTTAAAAAAATGTTTTTTATTTTTGAATGTAATTATACATTTGCTTGCATCTTCGTTAAATAAAATGTATAGTGCCGGGTAGATATTTAAACAGTTTTTTTAATATATTAGGTTGCAGCTAAGATTTCTTTAAAGTTCAAGACCAGACATTCGCAGTTCGTAATAAAAATTGAACTGAGTTGCTCAACAATTTGGAATGATCATATATGATCTGCAATTTCAAGGCGAGCAATTGCACTGCAATGCCTTTAAGTGTGCAACAGAATCGCATGGCCATCGGAGTTGGACTTGGAGGAATGTCATGAACACGTGCCACATGCAATCAATTGTGGGGCAGGAGCAGGGCCATCAACTTCTTTTTTTTTCTGCCGTCCGGCTTCGTTGATTGTTGCTGTTTTGCGGTGATTTTCGTTATTATCTCTCTCCGATTGTAACGACTGCAATTACCTGGTGTTTTTTTGTATTTGGCTTTGCCGAGATTCTTACAACATTTTGTGCGTTGGATTTTCGGGCAAATTATTCCAGCAAACAAGGCAATACTAAAGCGAGGTGTTGCAGGATAACCCATTGTCTTTGGTTTCTTAAAAATAAATAAAATGAAACAAGACTTAGAGGTAAAGCATACATTATTAAAATGTAAATAACTTTGCTGGTAGTAATAAAGACAGAATGTGTTTCTTTACTCCTAAGGTCATCTTTAATTTTCGTAATAAATCTTTTCCAGACAGAAAACTTTAATGAAGCGCTTTCCATGCTCAACACTAATTGCTGTGCCCTGGAAAATTACCCATTGTTCCGTAATGGGTTAATGCCGCCAATCTCAAGGTCGCAAGGCGCAAGTTATGTTGTTTATTTTTTTTTGTAAATTGTTTGGCCACTGCAGTCGAATTTTTGTAATTTTTATTTATTTTTTGCTTTGCTCTTATCCCGCAACGCAGCGTGACACTGAAAATTATTATTCAGCGCAGAGGGGAAAAGAGGAAGGTTGAAGGGTCCAGGCTTTTTGCCGCTCGTCGGTCGTCAATTTCTCTGTTGTCCTCAGCTTCTTGATTTCGGCCTTGGCAGGAGTGTATTTGCGGTTTATGCGGTGTTTGCCTGATGGTTGACACACTTTCCGGCCAAGCATCTCATTTCCATATCATCTTACACTCGCTCGCATTTCCATGGTGTCAGAAGTGCCCAATTAGCGCAGTTGACATCGCTCCGGGTTGGGTTTAATTATAGTGCTTACACTTTAATGGCCCTTAATTCGCTCCCAATTGTTCCGAACTTCTAGCCCGGGGGAACGAACGCCTGAGATTCGCTGGCCCTGAGCTAACAAACCTTTTGTTCTAAGGCGTCAAAACACGAGGTGATTAATTCCTTCATAAACAAATTAATTTTAATACGCAACTTAGTGCTAGAAAGAAAAAGTTCAATGGTGATATAAAACCAACACGAGAGAATCCTAAGTAGCCATTATAGGAGCTACCGGGCGATAAATTTCTTCATACAAAAATTAATTTTAATAAACAACTTAGTGCTAGAAAGAAAAAAGTTCAGTGGTGATATAAAAACAACACGAGAGAATCCTAAGTAGCAATTATAGGAGCACGTTTCAAAATTAAATTAGCTATTGTTTTCAGTTCCTTTACCTTTGTTCAGGTGCCACATTCTTCATAACTTTATTAAGGGGATAAAAAAAAAATACCGATTTTATAAAATGTAACTCGTATAGATAATCAATATATTTTGGAGGCCTTTCATGAACATATTACCAGTGATGAGAATTAGCTAGTGTAAAATATTTCTTAAAAGGTAAACATAAATCCATAATACCATTATACTTAGTCTTAAAGATTTAGTTCTTAAAAACTAAACAGTATTTGAAGGGAAAAACATTTTAAAGGCTAACCTATTTTGTGAGCCGAATTGTGGCTTTGAACCATTTTCTCGTTTTGCAAGGCCCACTTAACTGCATATTTTTGACCAAAATCAATGTTTGGAATCCAGACTAACTTCCATGGGGAATTCACCCAGCCTCCCACTCTACAAAAGGATCCGCCTTGTGGGTATGCAAACCGCCACTTAATTGTGGCGCCTGTCGCACACCCACGTTCGAGTCAAGAAAACAGCAATCCCGAGCCAAATAACTACAATCAGTTCGCCGGCGGCAGAAAGTCCGACTTGGTGGGGCGTTTTCTATCACCCAACTTGGGGTCTGCGTAACATGGTAGTTTTGGGGCATTTCATTAGCGGTCTGGTCTCTTCTCCTGCGGCCGATAAACAGGTGACTGCTCCGTGACTGACTGACTGACCGACTGACTGGCGATTATGTAAAGCGATTTCTGGCACTCAGAAACCAAGGGGGAACCCTCGTCGTCTCCGACTATTACTGTCATCAATATTTGGTAACGAATTCCAATTGCCTGGCATTCCAATTTCGGGTTGATTGCACTAACTATTTTGCAGTCGCAGATGCAGTGGCAACCCACTCGGGTCGCTTCTCTCCATCGACTGGCCTGTTATTATATAACCTTCCAGCCGATCGGCCGAGTTGCTCCGTCTCTTTCCCTCTTCTCGCACACAATTTTCCAAAGCGAGAAAACTCAGCTAATGGCGGCATCGAAAGTCGTTTTAAGTGTACTCTTTGCAGGCGAAAAGCTGAATAATTTACCCAAGTTTTTGGCCAAATATTTGAATTCAATAAAATTGGGAATACAATTAATTCAGACTCTGCTCTTAGCTACAATGTTTATTAGAAGTTTTCCCAAAAATCTGTGTAATATCTATTTATTAAAAAAAAAAAACCACAACAACAGTTAAGTGTTATTTAATTTTATTTCAATAAAGTTGTTTGCTGGTTTGAAAATCCCAAATTAAAAATAAAAGAATTTTTTTTAAGCTTTGTAATTAGTAAGTAATTTGAAAGATTGAATAAAATAATATTTGATAGGAACTTTAAGTAGTCAGTAATTTAGTTAATTGTGCATTTCTGCAATATTTGCCAACGTTTTGCAGCAGAGCATCTCCACTTCTTGTTGCCAAATTAAAAAGTTTGCCGTTTTAGAGGCAACTTTTATTTTATTTTGGCTTTGACGGCGAAATTCAGGCAGCAACGAGACATGAGACATGAGGCATGAGGCACGAGGCAGAGCCCCAGCGGTGCTGTTTGTTTGCTTTTCCGTGGCACAGTAATAGCAACAACAACAGGTGGGCCCGAATGCCTTGCCAGATTTGTCATCCGCCAGAAACAACAACGAAAATGTTGGTAAATGTGTCATGGTACCAGGCAACAGGGTCTGTTCCTGTTTACATTTCTTGCAATATTTGCCAGCAAAAATGCCAAAACAAAAACAAATTCACAGCCAGCCGGTTTCTGGTTGCCCCTGCTGCGAGTGTTTTTGATTTTTATTTTTTTTTGCTACTGTCTCGATCGTTCGATTGACACATATCCCATCCCGAAAAATTGCTGAGGCTGTGGATTGGATCCCAGGAGATTTTCTCTCGCTAAATGCGAATTCTAATCAACGTCTTGTTCAATTTGTTACCACTTGTTACAGATGACGAGGCAGAAAGATGGCATTGTTATGATATGATAGGCGAAATTGTGAGACAAGGTGGGGAAAATTAGTAATGGTGTACTATAAGTATTACTAAATTATTCAAAACGAAGTAAGCTTAAAATACTGGTTGCTTTTTGGAATATTTGAAAATATACAACCCGAGTTTTTAGCCTCTAAATATCTTGTAAACTAGTTTTGCATCCGATAGCTGTTTTTATTTCTATTACAAAACGCACTTGCTGCTTATCGAAATTTATGTCTGTAATATACCTACTTTTTCGATTCAAATTTGGCTAAAATTCAAATTAAAGCTCTGCTAATTAGATGTCATAATTCCCCAAGCAGGTTCTGGTTTTATGAACTGTTTATGGCGGTTCGCCCCCTTCATCGCACACTCACTTTTTGTGACACACAAAGTGCGCAAAACACGTAACAATTAAAAACATTAAAAGCGTTTTATATAATTCCGCAGAGACAGCAAAACAATAAGCACTTCACACGCTTTAAACCTTTTGCGCTGATCCCCAACACACCCTTTGGGAAATCTGAGTCTAGTTTTGACACAACTTGGACAGACCCGTAATAAGTGGCATAAAGACAGCCATCCAAAGCCAAAAAATAAAAAAAATGTTTATTAGGCTTTGACAAGAAAACGATCGCAAAACGTATAGCCAAACATTTTAAGCTGGCAAATCGTAAAAAGACTTTTGCATCTCATATATAATATTTTTATACGAAATGCAAATCAAAATTTTTGAAAATAAATGAACATGATTAAATATCTTAAGTACTAGCTTATATTATTGAATACTTTAAGATGTTTTTGTGTGTTTTTCAGACTTTAACTATTTGAAACTACCTGTGTATTTTGTGCAAGTGAGCGTTTTTGCCGAAATTATGTTAATTGCACAGATGCAAGCTGCATTTGTATCCGAACCTGTGTATTTGTATCTTTGCGCCGTAGATGTAGCTTTATCTGTGGGCTATGCGAATGCAAATTAGTCGCCAGAGTTGAGAGTTTGCCCTGGAGAATGTGTTTTGGTTTCGGTTTGGGTTTGGTTTTGCCACGCATAAATTTCCTTACGCCTCAGCGATTCGAGCGACCATTTTGCAGAAGGCCCAAGGGGCAGGGTACGTGGAAATGCGAATGTTTATGCTGAAATATGTTGAAAGGATACTTTATTGAGCGAGAGCAATTGTAGGGAAATAATGCTCGCCACAAAGTTGCATAATTAATTTGTTTACACAGTTGTACACAAACCCAACGAAATTTTAAAGGGGGTGCAGTGCAGCTAATAATAATGTTGCAAATGGGCAGAGGCTTCGCTAACAAAAATATCATTTAAACAGCTTGATATCTAATTACATCAAAATTAATATAACTTAGTTTTGTAGCTTAAAATTGTAAAATGTAATATTTTTCCCATCTTTAAATTATAAATACAGTATCCTTGCTTTCTGCTTGGAATTCCTTTTCAATAGAAAGAGAACCCAAATAAATCTATTTAATCCATGATTTCAAGTGTTGTTCATAAAACATATGAATGCTATGAAAAAATTTAAAGCCTTTGTTTTATTTTAATACTTCCTTCTATTCCTTCAAAAGAAATAAAATATTACAGTACGTAAATTACAAAAGTGCTTTCTATAATTGCTTGTTTATTATGACAATAAAAAAATATCAACATCTTTATTTAATGTTATATTATAGAAACACTTAAAAATTCATTTTTCAGTCGCAGCTCCTCTGCAATCAATTTCCCACACGAATTTAATGTCAGGCTGTCATTGAGCCGCAAATGGATGGTAGATTCCGACAAGGGTTATATCATTAACTGAATCATCGATAAAAATGTCCATTTCCCGGCCATATTTATTTATTTATATTCAGCGCCATTTGCCTTCTTCTGGGTCTATTTGTGTTTTTTTTTTTGGATGGCGCTGCTTCTGTTTATTCAGTGTTTATTGTTGCTGCTTATATGCACATTTCCGGACTGCAATCGGGTAAAATGCAACAACGCCAAATGTTTTACAGCCAGATAAGAAGTTTAATTTATGCGAAAACATGTTTGAAGCTTCTGCCGTCCGCCGTTCGCCGTTTGCCAGCGAAACCAGACGCCAAAATGGTATAAATACAGTAGATATCCATGTACGAGTAGTCTGGTTCCAGGATGTGTTGGGCCTTGACCACGCCCCCAAGTTCACACGCCCCCTCGCTGATATTGACCTTGCACGCCGGCAAACTTGAAACCCAAACAAAGTTACAGCCCAACAAAAATTGGTCATAAATTTTGGGACGAAGTCTCTTTTCCGTTTTTGTGGTTGTCAATGAGTGGGATTTTCTGTTTTTTTTTTTTTGTTCAGTTCAGTTGGCGCTGCTATTTATTTATTTAGCGCCATGTTTTGTCTAGACTCCGCTGACTGACACTGCGGTCGGGCGACACTCTCTCCGATATTTGTCGAGCGATAACTCCTTTTTATGGCCACCCATTGTCTGCAGCCAGTGGCAGCCGTGGCAGCAGTGGGTTCTGCCCCATCGGATTTTATGCCACTTCCGTCTGGCAGAACCCGAAAACCGCCAACAGGAGGAGCGTGCCTCTGCATAAGCAGGCTGGCAATTAAAAGCAAGATTCCACACATTTCTGCCCGGCGGAGCTGGAATGAGGATCGCATCATTAATTAAGCCCGGAAGTGTTGATAGTTCCTCCCGCTCCAAGCTCTGATTTCCCATTTCCACGGGCAGACAACTTGCGTTGGTTGCAGCAACATGTTGCAGAAGTATTTCCCCGGCAGCCCGCAAGTATGCAGCAAATGGAGCTTATACTTAAAGTCTGGTTGCAGATTACTATGGATTTTCCCCCTGGGAAGTATTGCTCTACCAATTTATATTAATGCCAAGGTTCATCTTTTATACACCTGTACGATGTAAATTTCAAAAATGGTTTAAATATAATTAAAATTTGAACAGAGAAAATAAAGAATAAGTTGTTTAAACTTATATTTGCCAAGTGAAATTTTTTAAAATATTTATGATTTCGTATGCTATGATTTATTCATTATTATTTATTCTCATTAGTAATGAGTTATTATTAATTGAATTATAATATATAAATAATAGGCAGCACATTTAATCCTTTAAGAAAAACCCGCTGGGAGTTTTTGGGCTATATTTATTACACTTATAAAAAAAATACAAAAAAAAGGTAGGATATTTCAAAAATAAATTGCAAATTGCAGCAACGTGTTCCGCCGGTGGGGTGCGGACTTCGGGTTCCATCTTTCGGCATCCATTGCACTGGGGTGCACCACCACGCACCGCGTTGTCCCCCAAGGTCAAGGTCACTGGTGGTGGAACTGCTGGCCGGGCAGCCTGTGCATCTTGCGGCGGTGCATCTTGCCCTGCTCGTGCTGCTTCACCGACTTGTGGTGGTTCATGGTGATGTTGCACGTCTCGCAGAAGAAGGCGGCACTCGGATCGTTCACGGCCCGTGCCTCCTGGCGTGCCTGCAGGATCTGAAGGGCCAGCGGACGCAGTGGGGCCAACGAGCCATCGAAGCTGGCCAGGCCCATGGCCACGCTGGAGGCGCCAGCGGATCTGGTGGCATGGACGGAGTGCACCCGCCGGCGGTGGAGTGCCCCGGCCATGTGCATGGCCATCTGGGACTCGGAGGTGATGCTCACGTCGCACAGCTCGCACATGAGCAGCTTGGCATTGGTGCGCACCCACTTGCCCTCCGCATCGAAGTAGCCCTCGCCGTTCGGACGCGCCGCCTGGCTGGCCACCTGGCGGTGCCTCCGCCCGAAGAAGTGCTGCCGGGCGTGCATCAGCGAGGTCAACTTGAGGTCACACAGTTCGCAGTAGAAGTCCTCCGGACGGGCGGTGCGCAGGTAGCGCAGTGCCTCCTCCGCCTCCACGTCGCCATTCCTCTTCTGGGTGCCCGAACTGCCGCTGAGGCACTGGCGAATCAGCCAGGAGCTGATCCTGCGGTCGTGGGCACGCGAGGCGTAGTGGTCCAGGGCACTCTGCTTCGAGCGGATCACCGTGTGGCACAATGCGCAGTAGTTGCCGCGGAAGAGCGCCCGCAGCTCCTTGGGAATCGGCGATGAGGCAGCCGTGGATTCCGTTAAATCTGAGGGGAGGAGGTTGTGGATTAATTAAAATATGCATGGTTACTAATGTTGAGTATAAAGGCAATCTGAAGGTAGTAATTGTGGTTTAAAAAAATGTATATAATTAATTTTAGTGATTGAATAGTTAGTTGCGGTTATATATTGTTGAAGAGCAAACTAATTCTCCCATCTAAAAGTTTTCACTTTTTTCGTGGTTTAAAAGTTTTCACTTTTATTTGTCATTTAAATTACATATAATAGGAACTAATTTATCTAATTATGGTCATGCTTGTTTAGATCAACAACACAGAATGTTTTATAAAAAAATACAGCTTAAAGTAGTTTTGCTTTAAATATTTACTTATTTAATATTCTAGAATTTAATAAAAGAACTGTTTCTAAAGGCTTTCAAAAATATGTTCATTCATAATATTACCGATAATACTAAAACACATATTTTATCCTGTTTCAGTTCGAAGAAATGCATAATTCAGGCGGATCTTAACCATTTAATAATACATCGAAAATAGTGAATTAATTTAAAGTCGGTCTATTTTATAAAATTTTTTTAGGTACAAGCCTCTTTTATTTATAAATTATACAAATGAACAAATTTGTAATAAACTCCGGCTAAAGCAGTAAAATCGATTGGTCTACCTTTCAGAATTTAATGAGTGGAAGGCCTCTTCTCACCTGTGAAGTTCGGCAAGGACGATTTCACCTGCTGTTCGATGGACGCCTCCTGGCGCACTCGTGGCTCGATCATGGCCACTCGTCCTTGGATCTGAACTGGAACCGCTCTCTGTCCCTGCATTTGCCTGCGGACCTTGTCCTGATCGGAGTAGGCCATCTTCTGGTCGCTTGGCTTGTAGCCGTTCTTGGGCTTTCCGCTCTCCTTGCTGACGTATCCGTAGCCGGGAAGATCCTTGTAGCCGTTGAGTCCTTTGTGCGGGGACACAACCTGGCTTTGCTGGCTTTGTTGGCTTTGTTGGCATTGCTGACTTGCTGGTTTTCGGCTTGGATGTTGCACGCTGTAGTGCTGCTCCCTCCTCACCCCATTTGGTACTCCGTTCGAGCGGTAATTGATTTTGGGACGATGCAGCTGCTCCCTGGGAACGTACTCATTGTTGCTGTCCAGGCAAAGTTCCGCCTTTCTGCCCTTTTTCTCTGCTGGAGGTTTCGGCAAGGCCTTCACTCCATTTACGGCTTGTGGTTTCTTATTGGCCGCAAACTCATTGCTTTCGGTATGGCAAGGCTGGGCTCGTGGAGGAGCGCTCTCCTGGCTCCTTGGTGGTGTTTCCTCCACCCAAATATCCGAGTAGTTGAGGGGACTGACAGTCTGCTGGTAGAGCGAGGCCACGAAGTGACCCCTCACGGCATCCGGAGGTTCAGTTGTCATTACTGGATCTGTGAGGGAGGCCACATCCAGTCCGTGGCGCTGGGGATTCTGGCCAAATATGTGGTGCATCGAGCACTGGGTCATGATCAAGGGAGATGGCGGAGCAGGTGTCCAGGGTTCGAGGGAACTTCCCGGGAAAGCCTCCAGGATGGGACGTCCGTGCATGGGACACGGTGGCCTCTCCGGTTGCGGAAGACGCAGTCCCAGTGACTCCAGAGTTCCGGGGAGCACCCACTGCTGGGGCTGTTCCTCGTCCTGGGAATCGTCCTTCGGAGGCCAGCCGGTTGGCGGCACATTCACCTGGTAGTAGTACACCGTGGGATCGTCCATGCGGCGCAGCTCGACGAGCACGGGCAGGTGGCCCGAGGGGCAACGGGGTTGGGGTTGCGGCAGGGCGGCGACCTTCCTCACAATATTCTTGGCGCACTGCATCGCAATCTGCTCGTGGACCAGCGGCACAGGCAGTTGCTGCCTCATTTCGTATCGGCGGGACCACATGTCCTGGAAACCGGATAATTACCAATGCTTTCGGGGATCTCTTATGCGTTTATTTTGGACTCGTCTGGGAATCGGTGGACCACGTCCTTTAGCTAGCACATCTGGTCCGACTTCGTTGCTCCGTTCGATGCGTTTCTTTGCTGGTTGGTTTTTTTTCTCTTTTTTTTTTTAAAGACTCCTTCGCCAGTCGCTTTACATAGAAAATAGAGAACTCTGGATGGTCGTTGAAATCAGAAGGGGTTTCAATACACTTGGGGTCGTCGCGCCAAATTCCTCGACCGCTTCTTAGTTTTTGTGCTACTATTTTAATACGAAATGTTGGCAAGACATTTAAATTTGATGGGAATCGGTGTTTAAAATGTGTGAACGGTTTCTCCACCAGTCGAAAGCTACATAACAAAACACAATTTCTGTCCGGCCTTGTCTGAGATATAGATGAAATGTCAAAGCCAGCCGAGATTGTTATCGTTTCGCAGTGGTGCATTTTTCCATTAGTATTGGCAAATTGACAGTGTTTGGAAAGCGTTCAAAGTGGGGTTTCTTAGAAAACTGGCAGGAAGTGTGGGGAAATTGTACTGTTAAATTATAATTTATATGTTAATGGTTGTTTTTGTATAACTTTATAAAGTAATATTTAAATGTTGATTTTTACTTTTTTAAGGTTTAAAATATAGAACTCCTGCTCTAATTAACTTGTAACCTTTTATGTTTGATATTACAATTTATAGTTTAATTTCGCAAAGGCCTAAAATACACAACTCCTCATACATATATTTCCTAAAGACATCTCGTGATTTATTTAAGCAGAATTTCCATTAAATTCAAGCCTAAATCCTTCAAGGACGCGACCCTGTTCAATGCGAAGAGGACGGTTGTCCCCAAGGGTCCTCTTTACGCACACGCAAATTCCGGGAAAATGAGTTGGCCGGGCTTTAAACATTCCCGGAAAAGTCGCAGCATGTGAAACAAAGAGGGAAAATATGCCGACTCGAATATACATATGTGACTGCCTGGGGACATTAAAATAATGTTAAGCGCGTGATTTGGCTGGAGTATCCTTGGCATCAATTGTCAGCGCTTAACCGGAGGGCAAGTTTATCGGGGAGGAAAGGACGTCGCACCTGTGGGGAAGTTTCCGGGGCAGGCTGACAACGATCCCCACTGCCAACATCAATAACACTAATGGGAAAAGGATAAAGATAAGCATTAAATAACACACGTACGCCGGGCCTTCTGGGGCTTACAGTGGGAAATTCCCCTCCCAGTAGGGCCTATCATATGGAAAGTAGTGCTGCCAACTAGAAACTACCTCAAATAGCTAAAATTAAGATTTTAACAGTCTTGGGATTAAAACTTGTTTAATAAGTTCAATTGGCAAGTAATTCGCTGATGATGCATATTTTTTTGGGTTCCATTTTAAAGGAATTTTACCTGGAAATATAAAAAATATTGTTTGATTATTTAAACCTTTTTAAAGAGAACAATATATTATATAATATAATATTAAGTTTTCAACAATTTCATTTTTGAATAAATTTTATTTTTTACTTTTTTATTAGAGCTTAAATGATATTTAATTTTGAACAACAAAATAAAACAAAACAATTTTGAACATTAAATAAATAAACAATAAATTTACTATAGTTAGATTATAAGTTTTTCTTTTACATTTTAACTGTGAACCTCTCTACTTTTAAAAATAGACAAAACTAGATAGAAAATAGCTAAGGCGCCAGTGGTGGAGCTGATTTTGTGGGTGGCCTGTGCCTCGCGGCGTGTGTACGTGGAGCTGTTAAGCGACACGTTCCACCGCCCTGGATTTCGCACCACCACCCTCGGCCATCTTTTGTTTGCTCTGCGCATTTTTCACATTTCGCGTTTCCGCTTCCGCTTTTCCGGCATTGTCGTGACTCCGCCGAAAGAAATGTGTCACACACGTGAGCAATTTAAGGCCTTGGTCCCGGCTTCCTCGCGCCTCATTTCGATTGCAAACTTAATTTGAAAACTTGGCCCCGCGGCGTGTAAATATGCGTTCAGGATGCGAAATTTATGGAAACGCCTGCGGCCAGGGATATGCAAATTTTTGGCGCTGCTCGTAAGCATTGATTTCTCTTCGTTCGGTGAGTGATGTTGATGGAAAGGGCCCAGGGCCTCAGTGCAGCCAGTAAATTTGTGGCCAGGACCCCAGAGAGACCATCATTATGTAAAGGTCTGCATTCTTTAAAACGGCTTAAATGATTATACAATTAATTTGTTTGAAAAGATTTGTTATGAAAAAAAAAATAAAAAGCTACGTAATTAACACAATTAAAAAATATTGTGCAAATACCGTTGCAAACTACCAGTTTTTGAACTCTTAATAAATATTTGCAAAGAAAGTATATAATCTTTATTTAATTTCGTTTATTTTTTCACGTTTAATGTTACATTTAGTTGCAAAGACTATTGTTGCTTTGTGTATTTGCTAATTCGTTTACTGGAACATTAACCGCAAAATATGCTAGAAGTCAATCCCTTAGTTCTTCAATAATGTCAATTATTAATGACTGGCAAGAGCGCTACGACGTGATCGTAGAGCAGCGAACGGACATTCGACGAGAGCATGAAATCAAAGTGGGAGAAGCCGTCGTACTTCACCTTTCGGCTCTCGACAAGATTAGGAAGGCGCTCTTGCAGGAGGAGCACATCTGAGTCGGCTCCCAACCAGTCGCCTCCTCCGTAGTGTATCACCACTTTTGATGTCACACGTGACAGATTGTAGGCCGGTGGTACGGGGGATTGGTAGCGAACCCGATTCAGAGCTTCTCCATGGTCGTAATAGTGGAAACCATTTTCATGTTGAAGTTGGGCGTAGTGGTAGACTTGCTTCGCAGAGGCTCCTTGAGAAGCGTGGGCAGCCACAATTGGGGTGAGGGTCTAAGAGGTATTTTACTCGAAAATAATACAATTACTAAGTGATTGATTTTGGACTTACCCTATTAAAGCCGTGCCAGTCGAATCCACAGAGCACAAAGTCAAAGATGCCGCAGATTTCACTCGCTACTTCCGAAGTGGAACAAATGTGTTGATGGAACTGATGGATTAGCTTGCTCTTTGAGGAAATCTCGTATCCGCCAAGTAAGTTAATTAACATCTGCAAAGATGAACCGAAAAAGTGTATAGCAAAACAAAAAATATATACATAGAGTATATAAATGCACAAAAAAAAATCTCCAGAGATTTCGGAGTACATTTTTTGTATGGTAAACTTAAAAAAAAAAAAATGAACTTAACTCACCGCGAATTTTCCCTTAAACATGCCAAGGAACTTCAGGACCGGACTGCGGTTTTCCTTGAGATAAACCATTGGTGAAAGAGCCTGCATGAGTTCCACTTTGTCGGCATATCCTGGCCTTTCGCTGCACATCACAAAGAAGGCGGTGGAACCCTGGGAGTGTCCAATGTATAGGATCTTCGGCTTGTTAGTGCGGTTCAGGACGAAATCAATGGCTGCGGGTACATCAAACTTTCCGATCTCGTGGAACGAAAAGTCCCAGTACTTTCGTGGCTTCAACTTAGGACCAGTGTGCCCGCGGGAGTATATGGTGCCTCTGGCGTTCAGCATCCACACATCGAAACCGTTTCGGTAAAGGATGTAGGCTAGTCCATTCTGAGGGCCCATTTCCACCCACGAAGCCGAGCTGGACATCAAACCATGAACCAGCAAAATGGGTCGAGCTCCTGGACGCGGAATCCGATGCAAGCTGAGAATATAGCCATCTTCTGAGTTCAACGAGTATGTCTCCGATGGATAACCGTATTTTTCAACAAGGTCAATCTATCATTTAAGTTTGATAACGTCATCTAAATACTTAGGTTGTGGATAAAATATTATATTTCAACGAACCGTTTTTAGCTTTGAGTCATCTAAAATGTCGGCCTGCGAGAAGAATAGTGGTGGATTCGATGGACTGTAGAGAGCCACTTTGTTTTTGGCAGGCTTTAAATCTACTGTTTGTGATTGATTCGAGTTATACGGTAATTCTAACAATGGACTGTTTTGTTTTCCAGGTTGTGGTTGAAGACTAATTGCAGCCACTGGTTCCTTTGCGATCGATTGAGGGTTTGATTGGGACTGCGCTTGGAATCGCAAGTCTAATAACTTAGAGTTCAATTGTGACTGTGTTTGGATATTTGATTGAGCCGAGAACGGCAGGTCGGGTGATTGAATTTTTAATTGAGTCTGTGACTGCGAATTGATATCAGATGCCCCTGAGCTTAACTGGGATTGAGATTGAGAGCTAGACGGTGACCCAGCCAAATGTGAGTTTGATGGATCCTGTGATTGAGATTTTGTTCCTAATAACTGAGAGTTCAATTGTGACTGCGATTGGATGTTTGATTGAGCAGTGTCATGTGATTGAGTGTTTGATTGAGTCTGATACTGCGAATTGTTGCCAGATTCTCCTGTGTCATGTTGGGATTGAGATTGAAAGCTAGTCGCTGGCCCAGCCAAATGTGAGTTTGATGTATCCTGTGGTTGAGATTTTGGTCCTAATAACTGAGAACTAAATTGTGACTGTGATTGGACGTTTGATTGAGCCGGTAACGGCATATTGGGTGATTGAATGTTTGACTGAGTCTGTGATTGCGAAGTTTTAGATGCTCCTGAGCTTAACTGGAATTGAGATTGAGAGCTAGACGGTGACCCAGACGATTGTAAGTTTGATTGATCCTGTAATTGAGGCCTTGATCCTGATAACTCAGAGTTCAATTGGGATTGCGATTGGACATTTGATTGAGCCGGTAACGGCAGATTGTGTAATTGAACGTTTGACTGAGTCTGTGATTGTGAAGTTTTAGATGCTCCTGAGCTTAACTGGGATGGAGATTGAGAGCTAGACGGTGCCTCAGACAATTGTGAGTTTGATTGATTCTGTGATTGGAATTTCGGTCCTAATAACTGAGAGTTCAATTGGGACTGCGATTGGACATTTGATTGAGCCGGTAACGGCAGTTCGGGAGATGGAACGATTGACTGAGCCTGGGAATGCAAATTGGTTTTAGATGCATCCGAGTTTAACTGGGAATGAGATTGAGAGCTAGAAGGTGACCCAGACGATTCTAAATTTGATTGATTCTGTGATTGCGACTGTAGTCCTAATAACTTGGAGTTCACTTGTGACTGCGATTGGACATTTGATTGAGCCGGGAACGGCAGTTCGGGTGATGGAATGTTTGACAGAATCTGTGATTGCGAAGTTTTAGATGCTCCTGAGCTTAACTCGGATTGAGATTGAGAGCTAGACGGTGCCTCAGACAATTGTGAGTTTGATTGGATCTGTGATTGAGATATGGGTCCTAATAAATGAGAATTAACCTGTGACTGCAATTGGGCATTTGTTTGAGCCAGATTGGGTGATTGAACGTTTAACTGAGTTTGTGTCTGTGATGTTTTAGATGCTCCTGAATTTAAATGCGATTGAAATTGAGATTGAAAGCTAGACGGTGTCCCAGACGGTTCTAAATTTGATTGATTCTGTGATTGGGAGTTTAATCCTAATAACTGCGAGTTCAATTGTGACTGCGATTGGACATTTGATTGAGCCGGTAACGGTAGTTCGGGTGATTGAACGTTTGACTGAGCAGGGAAGGGCAGGACAGGTGATTGAATGTTTGATTGAGTCTGTGACTGAGAATTGATTTCAGATGCTCCTGTGTCAAGCTGCGATTGAGATTGAGCGCTAGACGGTGACCCAGACGATTGTAAGTTTGATTGATCCTGTAATTGAGGGATTGATCCTAATAACTCAGAGTTCAATTGGGACTGCGATTGGACATTTGATTGAGCCGGTAACGGCAGATTCGGTGATTGAACGTTTGACTGAGTCTGTGATGCTCCTGAGCTTAACTGGAATTGAGATTGAGAGCTAGACGGTGATCCAGACGATTGCAAGTTTGATTGATCCTGTAATTGAGGGCTTGATCCTGATAACTCAGAGTTCAATTGGGATTGCGATTGGACATTTGATTGAGCCGGTAACGGCAGATTGGGTGATTGAACGTTTGAATGAGTCCGTGATTGCGAAGTTGTAGATGCTGCTGAGTTTAACGGGAACTCAGATGGAGAGCTAGACGGTAACTCAGATGATTGTAAGTTTGATTGATCCTGCAATTGAGGGCTTGATCCTAATAACTCAGAGTTCAATTGGGACTGCGATTGGACATTTGATTGAGCCGGTAACGGCAGATTGGGTGATTGAACGTTTGACTGAGTCTGTGATTGCGAAGTTGTAGATGCTGCTGACTTTAACGGCAATTGAGATGGAAAGGTAGACGGTGACCCAGACGATTGCAAGTTTGATTGATCCTGTAGTTGAGGGATTGATCCTAATAACTCAGAGTTCAATTGGGACTGCGATTGGACATTTGATTGAGCCGGTAACGGCAGATTGGGTGATTGAACGTTTGACTGAGTCTGTGATTGCGAAGTTGTAGATGCTGCTGACTTTAACGGCAATTGAGATGGAGAGCTAGACGGTGACCCAGACGATTGCAAGTTTGATTGATCCTGTAGTTGAGGGATTGATCCTAATAACTCAGAGTTCAATTGGGACTGCGATTGGACATTTGATTGAGCCGGTAACGGAAGATTGGGTGATTGAACGTTTGACTGAGTCTGTGGCTGGGAATTGATATCAGATGCTACTGAGTTTAATTGATGTTGAGGTTGAGAGCTTAACGGTGACCCAGTCGGTTGTAAGTTTGATTGATCCTGTAATTGAGGGCTTGATCCTAATAACTCAGAGTTCAATTGGGACTGCGATTGGACATTTGATTGAGCCGGTAACGGCAGATTGGGTGATTGAACGTTTGACTGAGTCTGTGATTGCGAAGTTGTAGATCCTGCTGACTTTAACGGCAATTGAGATGGAGAGCTAGACGGTGACCCAGACGATTGCAAGTTTGATTGATCCTGTAGTTGAGGGATTGATCCTAATAACTCAGAGTTCAATTGGGACTGCGATTGGACATTTGATTGAGCCGGTAACGGCAGATTGGGTGATTGAACGTTTGACTGAGTCTGTGATTGCGAAGTTTTAGATGCTCCTGAGCTTAACTGGAATTGAGATTGAGAGCTAGACGGTGACCCAGACGATTGTAAGTTTGATTGATCCTGTAATTGAGGGCTTGATCCTAATAACTCAGAGTTCAATTGGGACTGCGATTGGACATTTGATTGAGCCGGTAACGGTAGTTCGGGTGATTGAACGTTTGACTGAGCAGGGGAGGGCAGGACAGGTGATTGAATGTTTGATTGAGTCTGTGACTGGGAATTGATTTCAGATGCTCCTGTGTCATGTTGGGATTGAGATTGAGCGCTAGACGGTGACCCAGACGATTGTAAGTTTGATTGATCCTGTAATTGAGGGATTGATCCTAATAACTCAGAGTTCAATTGGGACTGCGATTGGACATTTGATTGAGCCGGTAACGGCAGATTGGGTGATTGAACGTTTGACTGAGTCTGTGATTGCGAAGTTTTAGATGCTCCTGAGCTTAACTGGAATTGAGATTGAGAGCTAGACGGTGACCCAGACGATTGTAAGTTTGATTGATCCTGTAATTGAGGCCTTGATCCTGATAACTCAGAGTTCAATTGGGATTGCGATTGGACATTTGATTGAGCCGGTAACGGCAGATTGGGTGATTGAACGTTTGACTGAGTCAGTGATTGCGAAGTTGTAGATGCTGCTGAGCTTATCTGGGATTGAGATGGAGAGCTAGACGGTGACCCAGACGATTGTAAGTTTGATTGATCCTGTAATTGAGGGATTGATCCTAATAACTCAGAGTTCAATTGGGACTGCGATTGGACATTTGATTGAGCCGGTAACGGCAGATTGGGTGATTGAACGTTTGACTGAGTCTGTGATTGCGAAGTTGTAGATCCTGCTGACTTTAACGGCAATTGAGATGGAGAGCTAGACGGTGACCCAGACGATTGCAAGTTTGATTGATCCTGTAGTTGAGGGATTGATCCTAATAACTCAGAGTTCAATTGGGACTGCGATTGGACATTTGATTGAGCCGGTAACGGCAGATTGGGTGATTGAACGTTTGACTGAGTCTGTGATTGCGAAGTTTTAGATGCTCCTGAGCTTAACTGGAATTGAGATTGAGAGCTAGACGGTGACCCAGACGATTGTAAGTTTGATTGATCCTGTAATTGAGGCCTTGATCCTGATAACTCAGAGTTCAATTGGGATTGCGATTGGACATTTGATTGAGCCGGTAACGGCAGATTGGGTGATTGAACGTTTGACTGAGTCTGTGATTGCGAGGTTGTAGATGCTGCTGAGCTTATCTGGAATTGAGATGGAGAGCTAGACGGTGACCCAGACGATTGTAAGTTTGATTGATCCTGTAATTGAGGGATTGATCCTAATAACTCAGAGTTCAATTGGGACTGCGATTGGACATTTGATTGAGCCGGTAACGGCAGATTGGGTGATTGAACGTTTGACTGAGTCTGTGATTGCGAAGTTTTAGATGCTCCTGAGCTTAACTGGAATTGAGATTGAGAGCTAGACGGTGACCCAGACGATTGTAAGTTTGATTGATCCTGGAATTGAGGCCTTGATCCTAATAACTCAGAGTTCAATTGGGACTGCGATTGGACATTTGATTGAGCCGGTAACGGCAGATTGGGTGATTGAACGTTTGACTGAGTCTGCGATTGCAAAGCTTTAGATGCTCCTGAGCTTAACTGGAATTGAGATTGAGAGCTAGACGGTGGCCCAGACGATTGAAAGTTTGATGGATCCTGTAATTGAGGCCTTGATCCTAATAATTCAGAGTTCAATTGGGACTGCGATTGGACATTTGATTGAGGTTGGATCGGCAGGTTGGGTGATTGAACGTTTGACTGAGTCTGTGACTGGGAATTGATATCAGATGCTACTGAGTTTAATTGATATTGAGGCTGAGTGCTAAACGGTGACCCAGTTGGTTGGAAGTTTGGTTGATCCTGTAATTGAGACTTTGATGCTAATAATTGAGAGTTCAATTGTAACAGCGATTGGTCATTTGATTGAGGTTGGATCGGCAGGTTGGGTGATTGAATGTTTGATTGAGTCTGTGACTGGGAATTGATATCAGATAGTCCTGAGTTTAATTGATATTGGGGTTGAGAGCTAAACGGTGACCCACTCGGTTGTAAGTTTGGTTGATCCTGTGATTGAGACTTAGATCCGAATAATTGAGAGTTCAATTGTAACAGCGATTGGTCATTTGATTGAGGTTGGATCGGCAGGTTGGGTGATTGAGTGTTTGATTGAGTCTGTGACTGGGAATTGATATCAGATGGTCCTGAGTTTAATTGATATTGAGGTTGTGAGCTAAACGGTGACCCAGTCGGTTGTAAGTTTGGTTGATCCTGTGATTGGTACTTAGATCCTAATAATTGAGAGTTCAATTGTAACAGCGATTGGTCATTTGATTGAGGTTGGATCGGCAGGTTGGGTGATTGAGTGTTTGATTGAGTCTGTGACTGGGAATTGATATCAGATGCTCCTGAGTTTAATTGATATTGGGGTTGAGAGCTAAACGGTGACCCACTCGGTTGTAAGTTTGGTTGATCCTGTGATTGAGACTTAGATCCGAATAATTGAGAGTTCAATTGTAACAGCGATTGGTCATTTGATTGAGGTTGGATCGGCAGGTTGGGTGATTGAGTGTATGATTGAGTCTGTGACTGGGAATTGATATCAGATGGTCCTGAGTTTAATTGATATTGAGGTTGTGAGCTAAACGGTGACCCAGTCGGTTGTAAGTTTGGTTGATCCTGTGATTGGTACTTAGATCCTAATAATTGAGAGTTCAATTGTAACAGCGATTGGTCATTTGATTGAGGTTGGATCGGCAGGTTGGGTGATTGAATGTTTGATTGAGTCTGTGACTGGGAATTGATATCAGATAGTCCTGAGTTTAATTGATATTGGGGTTGAGAGCTAAACGGTGACCCACTCGGTTGTAAGTTTGGTTGATCCTGTGATTGAGACTTAGATCCGAATAATTGAGAGTTCAATTGTAACAGCGATTGGTCATTTGTTTGAGGTTGGATCGGCAGGTTGGGTGATTGAGTGTTTGATTGAGTCTGTGACTGGGAATTGATATCAGATGGTCCTGAGTTTAATTGATATTGAGGTTGGGAGCTAAACGGTGACCCAGTCGGTTGTAAGTTTGGTTGATCCTGTGATTGAGACTTAGATCCTAATAATTGAGAGTTCAATTGTAACAGCGATTGGTCATTTGATTGAGGTTGGATCGGCAGGTTGGGTGATTGAATGTTTGATTGAGTCTGTGACTGGGAATTGATATCAGATGCTACTGAGTTTAATTGATATTGAGGCTGAGTGCTAAACGGTGACCCAGTTGGTTGGAAGTTTGGTTGATCCTGTAATTGAGACTTTGATGCTAATAATTGAGAGTTCAATTGTAACAGCGATTGGTCATTTGATTGAGGTTGGATCGGCAGGTTGGGTGATTGAGTGTTTGATTGAGTCTGTGACTGGGAATTGATATCAGATGGTCCTGAGTTTAATTGATATTTGGGTTGAGAGCTAAACGGTGACCCACTCGGTTGTAAGTTTGGTTGATCCTGTGATTGAGACTTAGATCCTAATAATTGAGAGTTCAATTGTAACAGCGATTGGTCATTTGATTGAGGTTGGATCGGCAGGTTGGGTGATTGAGTGTTTGATTGAGTCTGTGACTGGGAATTGATATCAGATAGTCCTGAGTTTAATTGATATTGGGGTTGAGAGCTAAACGGTGACCCACTCGGTTGTAAGTTTGGTTGATCCTGTGATTGAGACTTAGATCCGAATAATTGAGAGTTCAATTGTAACAGCGATTGGTCATTTGATTGAGGTTGGATCGGCAGGTTGGGTGATTGAATGTTTGATTGAGTCTGTGACTGGGAATTGATATCAGATGCTACTGAGTTTAATTGATATTGAGGCTGAGTGCTAAACGGTGACCCAGTTGGTTGGAAGTTTGGTTGATCCTGTAATTGAAACTTTGATGCTAATAATTGAGAGTTCAATTGTAACAGCGATTGGTCATTTGATTGAGGTTGGATCGGCAGGTTGGGTGATTGAGTGTTTGATTGAGTCTGTGACTGGGAATTGATATCAGATGGTCCTGAGTTTAATTGATATTGGGGTTGAGAGCTAAACGGTGACCCACTCGGTTGTAAGTTTGGTTGATCCTGTGATTGAGACTTAGATCCTAATAATTGCGAGTTCAATTGTAACAGCGATTGGTCATTTGATTGAGGTTGGATCGGCAGGTTGGGTGATTGAATGTTTGATTGAGTCTGTGACTGGGAATTGATATCAAATGGTCTTGAGTTTAATTGATTTTGAGGTTGTGAGCTAAACGGGGAGCCAGTCGGTTGTGAATTTGGTCTTTCCTCTGGTTGAGACTTTGATCCTAATAGTTGAGAGTTCAATTGAGCCGGTAACGGCAAGTCGGGTGATTGAATGTTTGATTGAGTCTGTGACTGGGAATTGATATCAGATGCTCCTGAGTTTAATTGATATTGAGGTTGTGAGCTAAACGGTGACCCAGTCGGTTGTAAGTTTGGTTGATCCTGTGATTGGTACTTAGATCCTAACAATTGAGAGTTCAATTGTAACAGCGATTGGTCATTTGATTGAGGTTGGATCGGCAGGTTGGTTGATTGAATGTTTGATTGTGTCTGTGACTGGGAATTGATATCAAATGGTCCTGAGTTTAATTGATATTGAGGTTGGGAGCTAAACGGTGAGCCAGTCGGTTGTGAATTTGATTGAATCACTGGTTGAGACTCTGATTCTAATAACTGAGAGTTTGATTGTAGCTGCGATTGCGATTGTTCTGTCGGCTGTTTTATGTTAGTTTCTGAAGTCGTTGGGAAGGTAAAGATAGGAGTTTTTAAATTTGAAGGTGGCCGCAGATTGGTTGGCTCCAATGATTGTAAGTTTAATTCTGGTAATAAGATACTTTGTGAAGGGAATTGGATAGGAAGTGGAATGTTTGAAAGCACCTGCGATTGCGAATTAGTTTGAGGTAATTGTGAGTTTGATTGAGTCTGGGATTGTGACTGTGCCTGGGACTGGAGATTGGACTGATCTTTTATGAAGTTAGATAGTGATTTGGAAGTCAAAGATTTTAACAATGCTTTCCATTCTAACGGGGTCAGTGAGTCTACCGACTTTGAGTTTGGTTGCGACGAAGACCCAGATGACTGAAGTGTATCTGAATTGGTAAGTGGTAATGTCGACTGTGTGCTTAACTTGGCTTGTAATTGAGACTGTGACTGTGAGTTCGGTTGTAACGGATAATATATTTTCTTTGTGTTAAAAGCAATAGGCTTTTGGGCGTATTTTCGAAGATTATTCAGAAGTTCCAACTTCTTTTCCAATAGAGCAATATAAATTTCCCTGTTTCTGTCCATTTCCAAATGATAATCAGATAGTGTAAGTGGTAAAATGCGTGGGACTGGCTTCGTAAGAGTGGGTTTCACAGTCGAATTCGTATTCTGAGGTGTTTGAGATTGAAAAATGGTGTACTGGCTTGGTGGTTTTGGCTGGGAACTAATAAAACCTATTATTGGAATGGGTTCCTGCGGTTTTAACATATTTATAATGACTTTTTGGAGCCTGTTCTGTTCCCTAAGTGAATTTAGCTCGGACAGAATTGATTTTCTCAATTGATTTACAGTACTGATTTGAAATCTTACGACCAATCTAGGGTCTGGTAGCAGAAGCAAAGGTCGAGGATAACTGTCGGCGATATTCGGTAATTGTGGTTCATTTAAGATCAATTCTGGTTTCCGGATAACATCGTAAGGCCAAACAGGCAGCTCCTTATTTACAATTACTGGTAGGAACTTCACATTTCTTTGCGATTGAAATTGTGATTGGGCAGAGCTTTCCGGATTTTGGTCTTCATTTCCATAGTTCTGGTTTTGAAATATAACATTGCATTGAGGACTTAGCTCAATTTTAACTGGGTTGCACTCGGATTATTACCTGATTTGACTGTGACTGTAACTGCTCATTCGATGCCACTTCATTCCATTCTTGACTTAAGCTGGATACCACTAGTCCAAGTAAAGAAAAGCACCGATCGCGGTTTTAAATGCGATCGTCATTTTGATGAAAGCTTACTTTAGAAGGCAAATCGAACGGGCCCCTTTTTTATAGGTTCGGAGATAAAGTACCTTGAAATTCAAAACTCCATGCTTGAATTGGGGTTTCAACAGCAGTTAAGTTAATTGTCATGCCTATGTTGCATCACTTAGCAAAACTGTAAAAAAAGGTTACGATCAGGAAAAAAAGGCTTAAAACTCCTTGAAATAGGTTTTACTCCTTGTATAAGTTTTTGAAAGTGTCAATTTATAAATTAGCCATTAAAAAAATGCCCATTATCCCAAAACATAGACGATTTAGATTGCAAAGTTGGGATGGACAAACATTTGAGAACTATGTGTTTAGAGTAACAAAAACTTCTTTAATAGAATAAAGAAATAAAATATTTTAAAAATAAATTAAAGGGATTTCATTGAGTAAGTATTCTTTTTATTCCAAAACTTTCTTCAGCAAAGCTTAACATTAAAAAATATGTTAACTAACCTAATCTTAGTTGGCAACAGCTTGACTCATTTTAGGTCAAAAAGAACACCTTAGTTTATTTAGTATTTTAAATAAGAAGAAATTCTGTTTCAGCATTAGTTTCCCAAAATTAACGTTTTTCCCCTACACAAGTTTTTTTTTTTTATGCCTACATATATATAATAATACATTTTAAACACAGATCATGGTGAAACTTGTTTTATTTAATTCAGAGTTATTAAATAAATTGGATTCCCAAACTCCAAAGCTGTTACACAGCTAAAATTAATAATGTGTTCTCCAACATCTAGCGGTTCGAGTCACAGATTTCAACCACCCGATCATAGACCAAGGTCTGAGCGTCCTGCGAGATTGTGAAGTCGAAGTGGGAGAATCCTTCGGCGGCAACTTTCCTGCTTTCGATGACGTTCGGGAGGCTCGCCTCAAGATTCTTTACATCCTCATCGGATCCCAGCCAATCGCCACCTCCATGATGAAGGGCCACTTTGCTGATTGCCTGCGAGAGGTTGTAAGCTGGTGGCTGCGGGCTTTGGTACCTGATGCGATTCAGGAGACCTCCATAATCATAACGAATGAAAGAATCTTGGCCGACCAACTGGGCTAAATGGAGCACCTGCCTGGCGGAGCCTCCTTGCGAGGCGTGTCCTTCCAGAATCGGGGTGAGTGTCTATTAGTAATACAAATTCGTTTATACATTGAAATTAAGTTGTAGGGATATCAATGTTTTACCTCATTGAAGCTCCTCCAGTTGAAGCCGCAGGTCACAAATTCAAAGGTGGCGCAAATGCGACTCGTTATTGAGTGGGAGCAGATGAGATTTTTGAACATTCCAATAAGCTTGTTGGTTACAGCGATCTTGTACCCGCCCAACAGATTTATCATCATCTTTAATGAAATAAGAAGAACAAATTATATAAAAATTGAATAATAAAGAACATATACTTTTTCATAACTTTATGCTGTTCCCTGGCTATACTATTTCGAAGTATATTAAATAATGTAATGCTCTGAAAACTACGAAGAATGAACACGTTGCATATTATTTACGAAGATACGCAAATACTTTAATATTTTTACCGTGAATTAAAAAATTACACAATTACACAAACATTATTATCGTTTCAATATTTTCACTATTTTAATTTTAATTTTTTTTTAATGGTTGCTATAAGTTATTTTCCCGTATTTAAAATAATTTTAAAAATGTCGAAATAAACTACCATTATTTAGTTAAATTTTTTTAATTTTCCCTTACCTACTATTACTTACCCCAAATCCGCCCTTGAAAAATCTTATGAACTTCAGAACAGGACTGATGGCCCTACGCAGTAAGACCGTTGGAGACAGGCATTGCATCAACTTCACCTTGAGGGCATATTCCGGTCTCTCACTGCTCATTGCAAAGAAGGCGGTGGATCCTTGGGAGTGTCCAATAACCTGGATACTCGGCTGGCCGGTCTTTAGCACGACCAAATCTATGGCAGCGGGTATATCGTACTTGCCGACCTCGTGGAAGGAGAAGTCCCAGAAGTCCTTTTCGCTCTTTTGGACATTGTTGCGGAACGTCGAGTAAATATTACCCCTGGTGTTGAGCATCCAGACGTCAAATCCCTTTCGATACAGAATGTAGGCCAGACCACTTGAAGGTCCAAACTGCACCCATGAAGCTGAGCTGCACATTAAACCATGGACCAATAAAACTGCTGTGGCTCCAGGCCTAGGAATTCTATGTATGCATAGCCTGTACCCATCCTCTGTGAAGGCGTAGTGCGTTTCTGCGGGATATCCGTACTTTTCGATCAATCCTGGCTAGAAAAACAGTGGGATATAGATTTAATACAAGGACTGTCACTGATACGCCTTCCAAAGAAATTAAAACTTTAATGAAATTTTCGGGGTCACAGTGAGAAACCGAATTGAAGGTGTACTCTACAGATTCTGTAATACCAACAGTTTTGTTAGTTGAATTTGAACCAAACTGTACCAAATACCTTAGTAGATATATATAATAAGTTTTACTTACCGTATTTAGCTTGGCGTCAGATATGATGTCGCCCTCCGTTAGAAATGTCACTGGTTTAAGTAGCGCTAGAGAAAAAATAAAATCCCATTATCTGGCCCTTTGGTTCGATAGCTGGAGCCTAGAACCTCAAAGTTACCTAAAAGCGCAGAACTTGGTACCACTTGGTAAAGTGCTAAGAGCACAAGGAGCGCTGTGTAGAAAGCGAGTCGCATGCTGGTTTTATATCCACTTTGCAGGACGGATCGAACAAGACCCTTTTATAGGATGGCTGATATAAGACCGTGAAATTAAAAAGACATGGTAATAAGCTGTGCTATGGCTTTTATCGCTTGTCATTATATAATCAGCTGTAATTAAAAAAAAAAAAATCGGCAAGCAATTTTATAACACAGTTAAGTGCTTTAAGTCTGTCCTTAGGTGAACCAGTAAAAAAATCGTTATTATGAAGATCAATAATGTTTATTTATTGAAAAACAAGTTTCGAAATCATACAAACTTTGAAATCATTTTTTAAAGCAACTAAATACAGGAAAAGTATATTAAAAAATTTTTTTTTAAGCTTTTATAAAAACATTACAACACAAAATACAAACAAATTTAGAAAACAATTTTTTTTTTTAGCCAATCAATAAAAATTCAGTTTTAGCCCCTTTTTTTGTGTATATGTGGGGAACTTGATTGAAACTGTGATCGAGGGTGTGAGATTGATTGCAACTGCGATTTGCTATTTGCTGAGCCGGGAACGGCAGGTTAAGTGATTAAAAGTTTGACTGAGACTGAGTCTGGGAATTAATATCAGCTCCTGAGTTCAACTGTGATTGAGATTGAAAGTTAGACCCAGACGATTGTAAGTTTGATTGAACCTGTGATTGGGAGTTTAATCCTAATAACTGAGAGTTCAATTGTGACTGCGATTGGACATTTGATTGAGCCGGTAACAGAAAGTCGGGTGATTGATTGTTTGATTGAGTCTGTGACTGGGAATTGATATCAGATGCTCCTGAGTTTAACTGGGATTGAAATTGAGAGTAAGGCAGTGATCCAGACGATTGTAAGTTTGATTGAACCTGTGATTGAGACTTTGATCCTAATAACTGAGAATTCAATTCTGATAGCAATTGAATGTTTGATTGAGCCAGGGACAGCAATGATTCTCGGGGTAACAATATTATTTGTGAAGGTGATAGTTGAGGAAGGTAGGGTGATTGAATGTTTGATTGAATCTGTGACTGGGAATTGATATCAGATGCTCCTGAGTTTAACTGGGATTGAAATTGAGAGTTAGACAGTGATCCAGACGATTGCAAGTTTGATTGATCCTGTGATTGGGAGTTTAATCCTAATAACTGAGAGTTCAATTGTGACTGCGATTGGACATTTGATCGAGCCGGTATCCAAAATAAATCTGATGGATTGTTTAATTGAGTCTGTGACTGCTGATTGATATCAGATGCTCCTGAGTTTAACTGGGATTGAAATTGAGAGTAAGGCAGTGAGCCAGACGATTGTAAGTTTGATTGACCCTGTGATTGGGAGTTTAATCCTAATAACTGAGAGTTCAATTGTGACTGCGATTGGACATTTGATCGAGCCGGTATCCAAAATAAATCTGATGGATTGTTTAATTGAGTCTGTGACTGCTGATTGATATCAGATGCTCCTGAGTTTAACTGAGATTGAAATTGAGAGTAAGGCAGTGAGCCAGACGATTGTAAGTTTGATTGATCCTGTGATTGGGAGTTTAATCCTAATAACTGAGAGTTTAATTGTGACTGCGATTGGACATTTGATGGAGCCGGTAACAGAAAGTAGGGTGATTGAATGTTTGATTGAGTCTGTGACTGCGAATTGATATCAGATGCTCCTGAGTTTAACTGGGATTGAAATTGAGAGTAAGGCAGTGAGCCAGACGATTGTAAGTTTGATTGATCCTGTGATTGGGAGTTTAATCCTAATAACTGAGAGTTCAATTGTGACTGCGATTGGACATTTGATGGAGCCGGTAACAAAAAGTAGGGTGATTGAATGTTTGATTGAGTCTGTGACTGCGAATTGATATCAGATGCTCCTGAGTTTAACTGGGATTGAAATTGAGAGTAAGGCAGTGAGCCAGACGATTGTAAGTTTGATTGACCCTGTGATTGGGAGTTTAATCCTAATAACTGAGAGTTTAATTGTGACTGCGATTGGACATTTGATGGAGCCGGTAACAGAAAGTAGGGTGATTGAATGTTTGATTGAGTCTGTGACTGCGAATTGATATCAGATGCTCCTGAGTTTAACTGGGATTGAAATTGAGAGTAAGGCAGTGAGCCAGACGATTGTAAGTTTGATTGATCCTGTGATTGAGAGTTTAAACCTAATAACTGAGAGTTCAATTGTGACTGCGATTGGACATTTGATTGAGCCGGTAACAGAAAGACGGGTGATTGAATGTTTGATTGAGTCTGTGACTGGGAATTGATATCAGATGCTCCTGAGTTAAACTGGGATTGAGATTGAGAGTTGGATTGTGAGTTTAATTGATCCTGTGTTTGATACAGTGATCCTAGTAACTGAGAGTTTAATTGGGACTTTGATTGCGTTCGTCCACTCGGTTTTTGTGAGATTCTTTCTGAAGGCGTTAAAGACATTTTCTTTTCGTTAAAAGCAATACGTTTTTGGGTAAGTTGTCGAAGGGTCCTCATAAGTTTCAACTGCTTTTCCAAAAGAGCAGTATCTATTTCTCTATTTCTGTCTACACCAAAATAACCGATATAATCAGGATGTATTGGGGGGACTGGGTACCGGGAATTCTGAGGTGTTCGAGGCTGTGCTGTCCCGGGTAGCGATGGAAGTAGGTAATTGATTGGTTTTGGTTTTGGCTGGGAGCTGAAAAAAATTGGAATGGGTTCCTGTGGCTTTAACTGATTTATAATGGCTTGTTGGATTTTGTTCTGTTCCCTGAGTGATTTTAACTCGGACTGAATTGATTTTCCCATTGGAACGGGTTCCTGTGACTTTAACTGATTTATAATGGATTGTTGGATCCTGTTCTGATCCCTAAGTGAATTTAACTCGGACTGAATTGATTTCCTCAACTGATTTGCAGAGTCGATTTGATATTTTAAAATCAATTGCGAGTCTGGTTGCACAAGCAACGGGCGTGGATTAATGTCCAGTACTGGTGCCCGGATAACATCGTAAGGCAAAAAAGGTAGCTCCTTTTTAAAATTTACGGGCTGTAACTGCAGGGGTCTCGGTTGGAGAGTTGGCACAAACTTCACATTTCTCTGCGATTGATATTGCGATAGGGCAGAGCTTTCCGGATTTTGGTCTCCTTTTCCATAGTTCTGGTATTAAAATATAACATTTTATTGAGGACTTAGCTCACTTTTAACTGAGTTGCACTCGGATTATTACCTGATTTGACTGTGACTGAAACTGCTCAATCGTTGGGACTTCATTCCATACTTGACCCAAGCTGGATACCACTAGTCCAAGTAAAAGAAAAGCACCGAGCGCGGTTTTAAATGCGATCGTCATTTTTATGACAACTTATATTAGAAGTCAAATCGAACGGGCCCCTTTTTATATGTTCCAAGATAAAATACCTTGAAATTAAAAAAACCATGCTTGAATTGGGGTTTCAACAGCAGTTAAGTTGATTATCATGCCAATGTTGCATCACTAAGCAAAAGTGCAAAAAAGGTCACGATCAGTAAAAGGAGGCTTCGAAAATCCCTGAAAAAAAAGGCTTAATTCATATATAAGTTTTTTTAAAATGACGGTTTTACGCTTTGCCAATATAAAGTTGTCCATTATTCTCTTTCTGGCAAATCAGACTTACAATTAGATCTAAACGTTTTTCAAACATTGTGTTGTGAAAGCTTGTTGGACTTAAATAGCACTAGGTTATGTCATGATATTATTTCGATTCAAACCACAGTACGCCACATATACTCTTGGTGGTCAGGTGTTGAAAATAATTCATCAAGTTTTTGACCTTGGCATCCTTCTGGACCGAAAACTCAAGTTTTCAGACCATATAACTTTCAATGTTAATAAAGCCAGGCCGCTCTGTAATTTATGAAAAGGTGTTCAAAGGAATTCTACGATACTCACTCACGTGGAAATAAAACGCTGAGTTTCAGGGTCGACTCCCTTTTTCAGTGCCTAATATAATTACCTAGTGCCTGGTGGCCTCTTAGTTTAAAAGGTCTACTAATGATATGCATGAACCTCTTAAAGTATTATGCAATAATTATAATGGACCATAATATAAAATTCTTACTACCGACTATTTGACATTTTGAATTGTTACGTTTGTCTTATTCACCAAGAATCTAGTATCAGCATGAATGTTTTGTTTCGTCTGTATTTTGACAAAGTTCGTCGGCTTCTAGTTGGCTCTCTCAAATTTTAATACGGGGGAAATTGTTTTTTAGGAAATTGGTTTCCCAAAATTTACGTTTTTTTTCTTACCGAAATACCTGCTTTAAAAATATAAACACAAATCATGGTTTGTTTTATTGTTTTTATTAAATTCTGAGTTATGAAATACATTGGGTGCCCAAACTTAAAAGCGGTTTTACAGCTAACAATAATAATGTCTTCTCCAACATCTAGCGGTTCGACGCACAGATTTCAACAACCCGATCATAGACCAAGGTCTGAGCGTCCTTCGAGATTGTGAAGTCGAAGTGGGAGAATCTCTCGGCGGCAACTTTCCTGCTTTCGATGACGTTTGGGAGGCTCGCCTCAAGATTCTTTACATCCTCATCGGATGATAGCCAATCACTAGCTCCATAATGGAGGGCCACTTTACTGATTGCTTGCGAGAGGTTGTATGCTGGGGGGATCCAGCGTTTTGTACCTCATGCGATTTAGGATACCTCCGAAATCATAACGAGTGAAGGATTTTCGACCGACCAACTGGGCCAAATGCAGGATCTGCTTGGCGGAGCCTCCTTGCGAGGCATGGCCTTCCAGAATCGGGCTGAGTGTCTGTTAGTAATAAAAATTCGTTTATTGATTGAAATTATTTTAAGGGTAACCAATGGCTTACCTCATTGAAGCCCCTCCAGTTGAAGCCACAGGTCATAAATTCAAAGATGGCGCAAATGCGATTCGTTATTCTGGAGTGGGAGCAGATGACACTTTTGAACATTGGAATGAGCTTGTTGGCTAATGCGACCTTGTACCCGCCCAACATACTTATCATCGTCTAAATTGAAATAAAAAAATAAATTAAAAAAAATTAATAAAAAATAAATAAAAAATATTACCACTGGCTATACTTTTTCGAAATATTTAAAGTAATTTACAGCTCTAAAGACGTCTTAGAATGTACACTTTTCGTATTAATTTTAATGTTTTAATCATGAATTAAACTATTTTTGTGTACCAATGAAAATAAATTATACAAATAAAAAATATTGATTGTGTATTATAGTTTCAATATTTTACTATTTTAGTAAAATAAAAATAAATAAAAATAATGTAAAACTAAAATAATTTAAAAAGTCGCAAAATAAATTACCATTTATACCAGTTAAAGTTTTTATATTTTTATTACCTAATATTACTTACCCCCAAGCCGCCGTTGAAAAATTTTATGAACTTCAGAACAGGACTGATGGCCCTACGCAGTAAGACCGTTGGAGACAGGCATTGCATCAACTTCACCTTGAGGGCATATTCTGGTTTCTCACTGCTCATCGCAAAGAAGGCGGTGGATCCTTGTGAGTGTCCAATAACCTGGATACTCGGCTGGCCGGTCTTTAGCACGACCAAATCGATGGCAGCGGGTATATCGAACTTGCCGACCTCGTGGAAGGAAAAGTCCCAGAACTCCTTTTCGCTCTTTTGGACATGGTCGCGGAACGCCGAGTAAATATTACCCCTGGTATTGAGCATCCAGACGTCAAATCCCTTTCGATACAGAATGTAGGCCAGACCACTTGAAGGTCCAAACTGCACCCATGAAGCCGAGCTGCACATTAAGCCATGGACCAATAAAACTGCTGTGGCTCCAGGCCTAGGAATTCTATGTATGCCCAGTTTGTAGCCATCATCTGTGATGGCGAAGTGCGTCTCTACGGGATATCCGTACTTTTGAATCAATCCTGGCTAGAAAAACAAGGGCTGTCACTGCCTTTCAAAGAAATTCCATTTGAGAAAGTCTTACTTACCGTATCCAGCTTGGAGTCAGATACGATGTCATCTTGCGATAGAAATACCAGTCGATCTGTTTGACAACTACCACATGTCCGTGGCTTTAAAATAAAATTAAGACGAATATCAATTTGGAGTTTTTCCCTTCTGGAACTCCCCCAAAGGACTTACTTGTAATTGTGATTGCGATTGAGCTTGCGATTGACCTGATCCCTGTTCTTGAACTTGGGATTGGGCTTGTGGATTTTCTGATTTTAAAGATGACAGCGATTGATCCTGTGATTGCTCTTGAAAAGAATGAAGAAGAATGGGAATTTACATTAACTGTCTATGGCTACTTCACCTAGGTTTGATTGGCTTAAGTCATCTCTAGGTTACCTTCAACCGCGGAACTTGGTACCACTTGGTGAAGTGCTAAAAGCGCAAAGAGCGCGGTATAGAAAACGAGTCGCATGCTGGTTTTTAACCCACATTGTGGCACGGAACGAATAAGAGCCCTTTATAGGTTTGCTGATGTAAGACCATGAAATTAAAAAGACATGCTGGTTCTAAGCGGTGCTATGGCTTTTATGTCTTGTCATTATAAAAACAGCTAAAAAACTTTGTAAAAAATTGCCAAATAATTTAAAATAATGGTAATTGTTTTTTAACTTTTGATAAAATGAACAAAAATGTTTTTCGGATAATTTTATAACTAATTCTACTTGCAATTTCTTAAATAAAAACCCATGGAACAAGCGGAAGAAGAAATTAAAGCTTTTCGGGTTGGGAAAAGTTCCTCAACTTTTGCCAATGTAATTGCACAAGTGCACGAAGCGCAACCGTTATTATCATTATCCTTGGTCCTTGTTTCGTCCTTGTTCCGGTGGCGTTGGCAAATTCACGCCACTCGCTTGTTTGCGCAAATTTGATTATCAAAATAGCCGAGGAGAGTGCAGCGGCGGTCGGAAAAGTCGGGAGAGAAGTCGCGAAAGAAAAAGGATAATGCCATGTCGCCGCATTAGCGCCTGTGGTGGGCGGGGCTGGGCGTGGTCGTCCTTCCATGAAACAAGCTTGAAATTGAGTTTGCCTGCCTAGTGCCCATCGACCCCCTCTTTAATAATGTTTAACATCACCCCTTGCTGGTTAAAGCCTCTTTTGCTTGCCAACTTGCGGTGATTTGTACGTTTTTTTTTTCTGGCATATCATTTAAATGCAGCGTGGTCCTGCACAAATGGGGTATTAAGCCCGCCGACAGATCCTGACACATATTAAATTTCATCTCGCCGTCAGTCCGACTCGGAATCAGGCGCCTAATGAAGGTTAAGCAACTTTTAATGTCCTGGCCCCGGCCATTTTGCAGACCATTAAATGTTTCGCCTGGCAATATGCCATATGTTTCCAGCACGGACATAAGCCCCGTCCCGTTCGGGAAATGTTTAGCAAAAACTTTCCTTATCATTTGAGCGCCAAAAGCCATAAAGACGCTCGCTAAGTCTGCGTGTGTTTGTGATGATGACAGGGCGATGACAGTAATCGTAATCCTAGTCATGGTAATGATGACACCGGAGCCCACAGCCATATGTGCATACATATGTCGGCTGCAGGATTTGGGATTGGCGAATCGGGAATCGAGAATCGGGGAATCGGGAGTCAGATTCTGCACCCACTTAACGGTCACGTGGTTGGCTAACGAGCAATTTCACCCTTTATGGCCTGATTTTGGATGCCACGAGCTATCGCATTCCGTCACAAATAATTTCAATTATCAATTCAACTGTGGAAATCGACGTCGGTCGCGGCTTGATATGATTGCTCTCTAGGTTTTATTAGTTTTATGGCATTTCGATTGCATAGTTTCCTCACCTCTCGTTTCACGCCCGATGGACACTTTCCGGTTTCCCACTCGATCGCAATTGGTGTGACTTTCGGTTGTCTCAGTTGTTCCTGAACTTATACGACTATTCATTCTGAACCGGACCCTTTGCCACTCAAGCAGAACGCGACAAAGTCTTAAGTGGTATGAAGGTTTTAACATTTGAACTTTAGTGCACTCAACAACAAACAAACTACACATTGTAAAAGGTAAATTGTGTAAACTTTTTAAAAAGGTTAAAAAATACTTGTTAAAAAATGTAAACAATTGTTTTAGTAAGAAACAAATTGTATTAATTGTAAATATATTGTCGATAAAAAACTACAGATCGATATTTGGTTTAAAATAATGGTTGAATTAAGCTTTGAGTCGATATATAATTTTGAAAATATTTTACCTAAAACATTCTACCATTTCACAACGTAACAAACAAGATATATTATTTTTGAAAATATTCTTTTTTTCTCTTTTTTATATTTTTTTTATACATTCGGCGTAGTAATATTTATTATATGACGAACAAAGGCAAATATTTTTCGTTCGGTGTCGTGTTTTGTATGGTTATGTGAGCATTTACATGTTCACACAAGTACAGCCCCTTTCCATTGGCACTCCCCTCTGTAATTTCACGCTCCATTGACCAGGGAAATCGCCACACAATCAGAAGGAAAGCTTTGCCCTTTAAGGCAGACAAACGAAGTTAGTACCAAGAATTTGGCCCACATTGTTGGAACTGGAGAGTTTTAGAATATATTCAAATTCGCTGAAACAATTTATGCACTTTGAAATTTGTTGCGGGAATTTTCGAAGCAAGCCTCGTACATTTTTCAGCCACCCAAAACGCAACTTTCGATTGGCGTTTGTCCAGGGTCCTTGTTGCGTTATTTATGCAGTTGCCTCGCGGAACACTATCTCCAGCTGTCGTTGTTGTTGTTCTTGTTGTTGTTATTGTTGTTGTTATTATTGTTGTTGTTACTGCAGTCATGGCCACTTGTTTCCGCACGCCATTTCTTTCGGGCTTTCTCCGCCGAACCACTCCATTCTTTATTTATTTTTCTCGCTTTTTTCCTCGGAATTCTTTTTTTTTTTAAACATTTTTTGCTGTTGCTGTCGGGGGCCCCAACACGAGAAGTCCATTTCGAAATTTATGTACACACAAATTGAAAGCGCAGAGAGAGGGACCAAAAGAACCGAAATGAAAGAAAGAAAAGTGTTTTGGTACTGGCAGAAAAAAGTTGGCTGCATTTCTCGAATTGCAGTTTCGGTAAAAAGAACTCGGGAAGGAAAAAAAAAACAAACGATATGCCTTTAAGTGACACTTGCCAGGGGGTTTTGTATTCCCGAGAGGTGGAGCCTTTTGGGAAAAAGAGGAGGGATTGCTCTAACAAACGCTTTGTCCAAAACAGTCGGCAAAACGCTTTGAATGTTGATTTTCGCCGGGAAAGAGGTCGAGGAGTTTGGGAAAAGAGCGCAATTGAAAAGAGATCAGATAATGCTTCAAGCGCAAAGAAAGCGTGTAAATAAGATTGGGTAGTTAAAGCTTGAAATTTATATGAGTGTAGAAAAGTAACATGGGTACGGAATGATTGATATTCGGAAAAAATGAAAACAAAATTAGCAGATAAATTACTTTTGCCACTTAAATAGAAAAGTATTGCATTGTTACAATTTGAAAAAAAAAGATTGAAAAAAAAAACATAGACGCCAAACAAATTCGAAACTATGAGGATTTTTCTATTAATTTTCAATTTTTTCTTCATATGACAGCTATTTGATATAAGTAGTCCTCTGATTTTAATGAAATTTTATTCAAAATTCGATAGTCATTAGAAAACTCTATACTTAAAAAATGTTGCTTGTCTGATGAAAAATAACGACCTTATCAACATCATATGGGAACTTTCCGATATAGTCGGCCGATCCGGCCCGTTCCGGCTTATATCTGCGTGCAACAACTACACAACTTTTGGAAACCGAAAGTCGGACAGATGGTCAGACGTATTTCGATTCAAATCGTGATGCTGATCAAGAATATATATACTTTATGGAGTCTGACGTGTCTCCTTCACTGCGTTGCAAACTTCTGACTGCAATTGTAATATCCAGTGCAAGGGAATAATAAATGGAATAACTAATTTAAAGCCCATTCAGGCTGAAACTTCCCATGAACTCATTTGTTAGACCCACTAAACAATAAACAAATGCCGCAGTTTATTGCCCTCTGAACTTCTGGGCAGAGCGAAAAGTTCACCTCGTTTATAAGGCGGCATTTGCAGTTGCGATTGCTCTTGGCATAAATTAGATGCGGCAGCGGCTTTGGAAAATAGGTTGCCAATTGTGCGGCTCCTGGCTTCTGGTTCGGGTTCCTCATTTCTGGTTTCTAGCTCCTGCTGGTGGATCACCTCACTTCACCCGAGGCGTCTCTTTGTTTCGGTGGCGGTGTCATCATGGGTTAACCCGCGCTGCGAATTTAACCCAGCTGAGCCGTCGAAGCTGCGGCCCGTTTCCTGTCGGTCTTTTTGTCCTTCAGTCCGACGGACTGACTGCATTTGCATTTCAATGCCCTGCCCTTTTTAAATATCACTGCTTTGCAGTGAACGAAAGATTTAAATGACCTTATAAAAAAACTATAAATAAAACTTTTGCATATTATATCAAAAAAAAAAAAAAAGTTTAAGTTTAAGATTATGCTCACATTATTGCCGAAGTCTGAGAAACTTTTAAAAACAATTAAGGATTTTTACTTATTAGGAGGTGTTTTAAAGATGGAATTTTTAAAGAGCAAGAATTTGTTTCTAATTGTTTCTTATATTACGCTAAGAGTTAGGATAGGTTGATATAAACAGGAGTAGAAAAAAGGGCTATAAAACTTTTTTAATATATTAATTGTCTGTTTTTATCTCAGTGTCCGATACTGTATTCCTAATTCTAAACTCAATTATCGCTGAATGCGCGACTGGCAACTTTGTCTTGTGTATGCTAATTTCATTACAATGCAGCTAGGGGTTCGAACCCCCCTCTCCCTTCCATGCCATCCCTTCATTTCCCATCCGAAGGACCCAGCTCAATACCCAATGAATTATGATGGACGTTGTCATGAATGGGGCGCACTCACACACACAAATACCCGCTGTGGTCGGCGGTTTCGGACCTTGCGTGTGTGTTGGCCAAGTTTATCTCTCTGGCCAACGTATACTTAGCACATTTGTAGGGGAAAGGGGAGAAGGGGGGAGGGGGAGGATAGGGGAGGTGGCTTAGGGGCTGGTCAATGAGCGTTTGGCGGGCAGGCACGCTATCACTAGATTGCTGGCTAGGCGTTTTTGACCGACACGCCCCTCGCAACAAAAAAGGGGAGGGGCTCCAGAAGGGGGCTTTAGGGGAAATGAAGTGCTTACCACCAGGCTACTCACAATAACGCGGAGGTTACACTGCCCAAACAGAAAATTAAAGTAAATGTAGGGAACCTACTGAAACAATCGATACCATAATAATATTACGCACATTGATGGGCGCTTCCAAATTACAATATCATTGTTTTGTTACAGTGTTTTGTTTAATTAAGATATCATGACTAAGTAAGTCTCACTTCTGTATTAAATATTTATTTTTATATGCATCCCAAATTA